GCGCGTTGCTCCAAATGAGTCAATATTTACAGGGTAACGACCTCATCGACCGGAAAGGAAGAATAGATCCTATCACTTACTATACAGATCAAACATTATAAGTAATGAAAATGTGCATACAGTTCGTTTACATGTGATAATTCCCAGATAAAGGAAAGCCTCAACGCTCAAGCACGCATGTTTCAGCTCAGCTGCCGTTATCTATTGCAAATTTACAGCCCGAGATTAAACTACTTTAAAACATTGCTAACATCGGAAGAGCCGATGAGAGGCGTCTTCAGTAATGGCTTCTTAAAGTAATGGCGATAAAAACACTTCCTCGTATTGCTCACGTGAGAATATTGACCGGCATCATCGTGACATTGACGGATGGGGCGCGGGTGGTTTGACCGAGCTTACAAGTACTAGTGAGTTTTCCTTGTTTAAGAAGATGGTAGCACACAGCGTAACCTACGAAGCCCTTCATTGAAGAAAGTAATTAATCTACGTTTCAAACCAAGAAGGGCATGAAAAGATGGAACATTATTCGCTTACGTTATTTTAATTATTAGCTGCAGTAATTAGTTATTGCCTCCAGTACATATTACTGTTATTTGTTTCATGGAAGCGAATTGATCTATATATATATATATATATATATATTATAGATATGTTAAATATAAGCATATCATAAATGTGAAAGTTTGTGAGTATGTATGGATGTTTGTCACTCTTTTACGCCAGAAGGGCTGAACGGATCTGGGTGAAATTTGGCACAGAGATAGATAGACTGGAATAACACATAGACAATTTTTATCCCGGAAAAATGTACGGCCGCCGTGGGATAGGTTTTTTTTTCCTAGAGGTGAACTCGAGCGAAGCGAGGGTGAGCCGTTAGTAATAATATAAATTTTAAACGAGTATGCCTGAGTGGATAGTTGATTAGTACTAAGCTATTTAATACGATAAGATTAATGAGACAGATTGGAAAAATTGAGTCTGTTGATAAGCGTCAAATTTAATAAATAAGATGGCCCGTCAATCAAAGTGACTTGTAATAGGATTTTAAATAAGGAAGTGTTGTTAGAAATCTAATATTAAAATATAAGCTATGTACTTCTAAAGAATAAAAACTATCTATATGGCTTACTGAACTTATTAATATTTTTCTAAACACTTAGAAACGTTTAAAATATTACTTCTTTAAAATATAAGTAATTCTGTTATGTTTACATATACATTACGATAGTTTTAATGTACAACATGGTGCATATACACACAAACAGATGGACAACTAGTGTAAACTGTATTCTTCGGCAACTGAATACTAAATTAGGTAATCTCTTGAATTATGTAGCCTTTCTAAAGCTTCTTAATTCAAACGTCGTACGAAATGAGCCGTTGAACTGAAACAGTTAAATGTAAATATAAGATATTTCTTTTCTCACGAAAGCTGTCTCTATGGCATGTTAAATGTAATTTTAAGAATGACTTTGACACGTATATTCGTACGTATATATATGTACATGTTTAATTGATAAATCTTGTAATTAATTTGCTTAGAATACGAATTAAGACTCCTGCAATATTTATGATTAACAGAAGCATTTTTCTTTGCTCACCAGGATTGACGGCGGCAGTTACCGGATAGAGTTTCTAGAGCTTGAGGTCAGTAAACCCACGTATTATCTTAAGGTTACAATTTGTGAAAACATATTCAGAACTTACATAAATTAGATCGTGCAATATTATAAAATGGATGTGCTAGAAGTAGATACATTACTTTTTGTCCAGTTAATTCTGTTTTATCCAGTAAATTGCTCCAATAACAATGAAGTAGTGTCAAATTATCCCAAATGACTCAAAAGAATAATGACCTTAAAGTCAGCGATGTGTAAACATAAGAGACAGAATATACAGTTAGATTTTCTGGTAGTGCGTGCGTAGTGACTCATAACTCCCAAAACTAAGCTAAAATAAAAATGGCATATAAATAGTTAATGAATTATTGTAATTTTGGCCATATTTTTATATATAATAGAAATTTAAAAAATCATTTGCATTAGTAAAATGGGTATTTACAGTATGAGCAGATATTTTAAAAACCGTTAATGTATGTAACGGTTTCAAAAAATAAGAACCGGTAGTTTTTATCATGATCATTTCCACATTACAGTATCAAGTTACGTAAAATTGATAAGTAATAAATACACTTCAACTGTAGTACAAAAACCGTAAATAAAAGGGCCTTCGAGGAATCAACATGTGACTGCTAAGTATGTAAGTAACGCATGAGACAAACCGCAACTCCATGCAGTTTTGTGGGGAAAGTAAAAACCTCTTTACATGTGAATATTAAATAAATTCAGAACCGGATTGTGAATATGTCGTCCTCTTATTTTTTATATTGTCAGCTATATACGTATATACTTACGCTTTTTTACCATAATTATCTATCTATATATCACACCTCTATATAAAAATTAAATACATTTCCTGTGAACCAAAGGACATTAAATTCAACAGATATAAATTGAAAGCTACGAATAAATAATTATTCGTAGATTGAAAGAAACTTCCCTTGACGCTTTAATGTGAGAAGACAATTCCATTGAAGTGCCATTTATTCAGACGCTATCACTATCAACTGCAAGCTATATAAATATTGAACACTGACTAAAATAAATTTGAATATTTTTACTGCCGAGTTTATTTATAAAAGTCTCTCTTTAGAGATTTTAAATGACTTAAAGGATATTATCTAAGACTTAAAGGATATTATCTATTAAAAAAGTTAGGTTAAATGAAGCAATAGATTTAGTGTTACTGATCATCCATATTTTATCGTTTCTCAAGTTGGTACATACTATGGTACACCTACCTAGTATAAAAATCTAGAGCTAAACTTCAAAGGTAAGCTGAGGCGCTGTCCGGCTGTCAAATATGTATATAGTTTTCTTTAACTTTTCGCTCAGGTTGACCTGTTCAGTTTAGCAATACAGGAAAACTGTGTAGGCATACCATATACACTACAAGCGTATGTAGCTATCTTTACAGAATGTATAATACGGAAATGAGCAATGCGATAAGATAGCAATAGGGCTTCAGGCTAGGGATCAATAAGATATTTCTCGTTATATAAAGAGGTGTGCACAGATCGGGATCTAGATGGTTTATCCATGAAGGTACCGAGATTGCCAATGCATTCAATCACTCAGTATATTGTTTCCTGATTGCACTCTACTGATCAACAAACGATTTTCATCTAAATAGAATTTATGTTAATTTAGCAACCGTTAAGAATGGATGTTTGTATACAGTGATACAGGAAACGTCCGAACATTATAAGCCCTGAGGCGTAAAACATGCGAGAAGCAATCGCTATGTAAGTCACAGTAATAGCAAAAAGCAACCGACAACCGTGCTCTTAATCCCGTCTTTATTTACTTTACATATGTACACTCTAATAAAACAAGTATATTATATGAGTAAGCCAATGTCAATACAGGTTTGGTAAGTACTCTTATTCTATATAGATTTATATGGAATAAATAGGCATTTAAATGATATAGTTTTTATTCTATTACTGTTTATTTATAATTTAAATATTTTAAGCTTTTTGTTTAGGTAACAGTTTGAATTAATACCTATTTGATAAAGTATACTTAAAGGTATGCATACTATAAATATTTAATGTACAACCCCGTTCAGTTTGTATTTTCATTTTTCATATTTTATAGCCCTAAAGTCGGAAAGTAAAATAATGCACATAATAACTCAAATCTATATACACATACATACCTATATCTACACATAAGAGGAAATTCGCAATCGTTAAGCATTTTAAAAATGTAATAATAAGGAACGTAAACATTTTAAATAATTATGTTCTAAGAATAGGTGATTTATTCCTGATGAGTTAAAAAAACTAAAGTCTAAAAGTCAGAACAATTTTCCTAGGATTTTGCTTAAAAGTAATTGACTTTCTCTAGAATAAGTGATGACTTTAACAGATAGATTATGAACATATATTAAGTGTTTTATCATTATTCTAAGAGTGTAACGAAATGACAGGAGCTTCGCAAGAGATTTCTCGAAACTCACTTAACTGATTACCTACGTTTGTGAAACCTAATGTTCTAAGTAATTATTTAGTGATGAACGAACATGAACTTGATGAAGTTCATTCTCTCTTGTTCATAACATTTGCACAGTAAAGTCGTAATTTTCAGCAAAAATATTACCTATTAGGACTTATACTACAATTAACGACTCACCCTCGCTCCGCTGGGGTTCGCCCATAATTACGTTTTAACGTTTATTAATTATTATAGATTTCTCAGAGTGAGATATTTCCCGCAGTAAAAAGTATCCTATATGTTGACCCGGATAACCAGATACCTATCATCATACCAAATTTTATCAAAATCTGTTTAGTGGTTTTCTCGTGATGCGTTCTTACACAGACAGACAAAAATTCTAAAAACTATAGATTCGGCCTCTTTATCGATAATAATCACTATTTCAAATAAGATTTTCCAAAAAATATTTAATGTACAGATCCGAGTCAGTTAGAATTTTATTATATGTATAGATAAAATATTCAATATTTTGATAAAGAAAATGTTTATAGATAAAAAAGTAAATTTTATAATTATTATTAACATATTAAAACATCAAAGTCAGTGTAATATTGTAATTGGAAGTTAACGTTAACATACTCGTAGAGCAATTAAAACGGCTACTAAAGCTTAGCGGCACGTAAGTTGTGTAAATTATATTAACGGATTCAAGAAAAATTTATGTCGACAGCATGATGAAGCTGTAAACAAAATTTTATAGTTTCTAATATAGATATAGCTATAATATATTTGTGATAGAATTTTAAGATTCAAATATGAATAAGTTTAACTTTCTAGTTTATTTACGACATATTTTTTGATAAGTTACGTCCGACTTGATAAGGTGCATATAAAGATGGAAGATCGTCGCATCGTTTGATTCAAATATGAGATAGATCAGCTACTCAGAGAAGCTGATAGCGAGAAGGCGGCATTGTGAACTGTCCATCGAATGTTATCATAGAGCGACATCTTTGTGTCGAGGTCGGTTTTTATACGCGTGCGCAGTGAGGTGGGCGGTAATGGTGTCCGTCCCAACGGGATTCGCGCGCCGGCATCGTTTCGCGTCTCATCGTGCGGCCGCAATACATCGCTCCACTTAAAATACGTGCGAGCTTGTTCCGGTAAACCATCGTGATACAAACGTAAAAACCTAAATATTCTCAAAGCTATATATTAATTTATACAAAAAAAATGTGTTTCTAGGTAAAACTATTTTGCATTTTATTCACTTTTCGTGTATCAAAAACAATGGTTATGATTATTATTGACAGTTGTAAGCAATAAGTGAATGAAGTGGCACCGGAAAGTGTTACTCAGTTCGATCATACAATATCACTTCATCACGATGATTCGCGATATGATGTGCTCAAAACAAGGCTCGTAAGCGTGCGATTGTCGATAACGGTAGACGTCGAATGACCCGACACTAATTAATACGCGTGTAGCCTTTTAATATAAACACTTTCGATGGCTTATTTTCTCCCTCGAATGAGTTTAATTACAACTTACAATTACATTACATTTTACTCAATTTGGTTGCATGTTATTTATGTGTAAGTTACGAGTTATGAATAGGTTCCTAAAGGACGGTCCCAAAAAAATTCGAGACTGCAAAATATTCCGTCCCTAAAGGTACAATTAATTTATATTTAAGTGATATTGAAATCGATGTATCTTATTAGTTAAAATATATTTCTAATATTTTGTAAGAAACTAATTTATTTCATTTAAATGACACGTTTGGCTCAGTTTGTAGTTACCATACTTGTTGCGCCAGCAGTCGCGGGTTCGAGTCCCGCTGCGGGCATTCATTTGTGTGATGAGCACAAATGTTTGTACTCCAGTCATTGATGTTTATATTTATATATGTACTAGCATTGCCCGCGGCTCCGCCCGCGTTCAGATGACCAAGAACCAAATTCTTAGGTTTTACATATTAGTATACTCTTACATTGCAGTTTTTGTATTTTTTCTCAGAAATGAAATATTTTCGCGCGGTAAAAAGTATTCTATATATTGACCTGGATAACCAGCTATCATCATACCAAACTTCATCAAAATCCATCCAGTGGTTTTTCCGTGATACGGTAACAGATAGGTAGACAGACAGACAAAAATTCTAAAAACTATAGATTCGGCCTCTGTATCGATAATAATGTCTATTTCAACTTCAACAACATAGCTTAACATGGAACTAGATAGTGATGTGTGTTAATGTCCCAACATATTATTATATATTATAATTAAGTACAGCATTTAAATCGCATTCAGATCACACAAGAGTACCTAAATTACAAAACTTCAATTATAAAGTATAACTAAGACATTATGGTTCATATTATTAAAGACAGTAGGTATGTACTTAGGACACGTACATAAAATGATAAAAATAACAAACATTTATGGCGTTATTTCATTCATTACCTTTGAAGATGGACTTGTCGGTTTTACATTACTGATTACTTACTATTCATTTAATCCATTAATCATTGCACTGTATAAAGGTTGATCTTTATTAAATGCAAGTCATAAGATCGATTCAAATATAATGTTTTCTGTTGACTAATTACATATACAAGAAATCTTAAAAATTAACAAATACACAATTAAAATTTACTTAAAAATATTTTCACACGACCATTAGATATAATAATATCTACGTATTTTATTTATCACACTATGATGATGTTCTCCTGACCGATTCCGGCCACGGCGGCCAATCCCATTGAGACTAGCCAACTGCGCAGTAGATATTATAGTGCACAAGTGTACGCGCAGACACAAGTGCACTCTCTATTCCTATCACTCTCATACTCTGGTGGGACGACCACTCGACACGACCAGTGAGAGTTAAGGCGCAGGAGCGACGGCTTTACGTGATCTAATCACACTATATTAAATGTTTAGATAGTTATAATTTTAACTGTATAAAAATTATAATATGGGGCTTAAACGCGTGAATTCGATAGCGGATATATACCTTACTTCCAACGTTTCGACTGGGTTGCACCAGCCGTGGTCACGGGCAGATAGGTTCCTGGTACATTCCAAACGTAACATCGGTAATAAGGTATATAACGACTAACGAATTCAAGCGTTTAAATCCCGTAGTATGATTATTATATAATACGCGAAAATTTAAAATGTTATAATTTTAATTTTCATTTTATACATATGCGTAGGAATATATTTATAACTAGGCCTTGTGCAAGGAAAACATCGCTTTTACATATTAAGAGCTTTAGTATGTAACCTTATGAATAAAAATTATTTTGTATGATTAATGTACAGGTGCCTAATATTATGAGAATTTAATAATTTAATTAAAATATGCAGTTGTTTGATTTATTTTAATGGTAATCTGAATTTCTGAAACATCATTTATTGTCCTTGTATTCATGTAGCCGGAAGAGATTTGTACCGTTATAGCATTAGTGTTTTTGCATGCGTCATCCATAGGGCAGGGGTACGCAGTATACACGTTGCCGCTCTCGTACGCAGGGAAGCCAATCAATTACATATTAGCGTAATGTGACCAAGATGACCCAAGGCTACACCAAGCATTTGCGTAGTGCCTGCAAAACAGCCAACCATTGAGAGCTCTTAACTAACGGAGTAGTGTCGGAGACAATGAACTCGTGATTATACTTTATTGCTTTTAAGAATTTACGCTTATGTATTTTCAAAAGGCTTCCACGGGTATAACTCATGAAACAAACGGCTCATAAAACACAGTTGGCTAGTAAGATAAATTTGAATGGCGTTGAATTTTACCCATTACAAAGGGCGAAATAGGTCGGTCATAAAGTAAATTTTAATTACAAATATATAGGGATATCGTGCCCAGAGTCCATAGAGCCAGAGGAACAATAGCAACGTGGTCGGAAGGCGGAGGTGGTTTCGTGTTCGCCGGCGGCCGGATAGCATTGACGCCCATTTCGAATCGTAATCTTAAGCTGAAAATGCTTCTTAAACTAATATCTTTAATTAAACTTAATAGACTAAATAACAGTCAAATTTAAAAGAGCTAAAAAAGATAATCTTAAAGAGTAACATATAGATTTAATTTATGTTAGTTTAATGTATATAAACAAAATGTGTATAAAAATCTCAGTATATCCTGTTGTAGGCTACAAGAAGCCAATTGAGAAGATATATTACTGGAAGTCCACCAAAAGCAAAACATTTATTTCTATAAGTTTAATAATGATAATTTTAGAAAAAGTAAGTAATTAAATTATATTTTTATTTAAATTGAGGATTGCCTTTTCATAATTTCCCATATCGGGAAAAGATTATGCAACAATAAGGTGTGATTGATCTTATACGATTTTAATTGATATTGTAACGACTAAGTTGCGCCATAAATAAGCCCTTTTTAACATTTTGGTAAGAAATGCTGTTAAACAAGTTTATGACAAATATAATAAATAAAATTTAACCTTGAAATGAGCTCATTCATTCAAATTAATTCAGTGCAAAGGTGTATTTAGGTTAGGATTCTGTATGTAAGACTTGTTTGCTATATAGGTATAATTAATAAACCGTATTAATTGGTGCAATCAATATCTCGTTTCTCGAGTACTCGGGTGAGAAATCTATATACTTTTTCAGCGATGCATTCACAAGATTAAATAAATAATATTACTTGGTGTCGAGCGTGAGGTTCATGGGTACTTTAGATGATTACTTGTTCGATAATGAGTTTAGAGGTCCGTTAGACTAGACCGGTCGCATGCGTACCGTACTCAGGGAGAATTTACTTGTACCAATTAGTAACTACAGACATATCTTATGTAATTTTGTTTCGTGTAGTCACACTACAACTGGAACACTTTATCCTTAGCTACGGAGCGAGAGTATTTTAATTTAAATTTATTTTATACGGTACTGTCGTTGTTAGATATGTTACATTAGATTAAGCAAAGAATTAAAGTAGAATAAATATATAGTTATTGGTTGAATATGATATATATTTATAATCTCTATTATTTTAACTTTTATTTATATGAGCCCATAAATGTTATTTAATTTTTGACATCATTTTATGAGATTTTGTATGAAAAAAAGATAGTTTAAAGGGAAGTTAAATTACTACATCATTTTACTTAATTAGTGAGTATGTCTTACTCTACAGTTTCCTCACTCGCTAGTTTTGGAAATTTAGTTAATTGGTCAGTTTACAGGATTTGTCAGTAGAGTACCTAGGTACAGTCAGAACGAAAATAATGAAAAAAAATAATACAATATTATATTAGTTTATTCTTGTAATATTTGTTATAATAATCCTATTACTTAACTCTTAGCTTGCAAAACAAATATGATAAACTGTAAACCGTTTTGAAACTGGTAATGTCGCAATCCAATTTGTTGCCGGTATCGTGGTAGCTGCAGAAAATTGAAATGAACCTGTAAATTGAATCTATCACGTACAAGTTTCTATCATTATGGCAGCCAATGGAACCTTTGCGGTTAAAAGTCCTATATGCCGCCGATACAGGTGTTACAACCATAAGGCAAGCTTGCTATTTCAAAAAAAGCTATTAAGTTCGTGCATTAAATATTCTTTTACTTTCTGTGTTGAGTATTTATTATCTATCACCATAATTCCTGCAGTTAGTTGTGTTCATATTTTAATCGATGTTGATAGATGTATATTTTCTAAAACTACTTATGAGCGTGTTTTTCATGCTGTATATAGTACAGATTTACAGTAAAATGACAATATTTCGTTTGTAAACAATAAACTTGTATAACAATATTAATTAATTTAGGAATTATGATATTATAGAAAAATATATTTTTTTGTATAAATTTTATTATACATGGCAAATCATTTAATAGTTATCCATACTAATATTATAAATGTGAAAGTGTGTTTGTTTGTTTGTCTTTCTTTCACGTCGAAACGGAGTGACGGATTGGCGTGATTTTTTATGTGGAGATAGTTGGAGCGCTGGAGAGTGCCATAGGCTACATTTTATTGCGGGAGATCATCTCATTCCCAAGGGAAAACACGTTATCATACAATTCAAAAAAATATTTATGATCAGAATAACTAACTAAGCTTGGTATTAATGCTCTTCAATAAAATTAAATAAATACGTGTTTTAGCATTTTTTGAAATTCATCCTATAAGGGGATGAAAGTTTGTATGAAACTAACTTTTTAGAGATTTTTTGTAGTTTTATCGCAAGCGAAGCCTCAGGTTCTTTTAGAATACATATGTATATTTCTTTGTAGTTCACAACGTGAGAACTTAGCAATTAATACCTTATGTTTTCACTAAATCGGGGCAAAGATCTGTATGATAAATACATTCGTCATGTGCCATCGAACTCACGACCATTCATATTACCATGCCTATTGATAAGTAATAGGTACAAATTCCATTGTGGCACGACAATTTTCAATCAATGTAGAAAGTTTATTTTATAGATTATTTGGTTTCATTGTAAAAAAAATAACAACGTTCCGAATTGTTACATCGTTTGATGCGATCAATAAGAAATATTGTTGATTAATTTGAATTTTCTTCACTTTGTTGATTTCGGTAAGCTTGTTGATAATCTTAAGCGGCACGGGTTAGCGTTTACTCGTGCGCGACAACGTCAAGCCTACCGTTACTCTGCACCACTTTCAGGACAGTTAATTCATATAAGTTATAAGCGTCCATATAATGATCAACAATCCTTAATAGTGGTCATATTCTCACAGGCATTTTCTTATCCTTATAAATAGGAATATATCGATCGTAATCTTAACAAGACGTGGAAAGTCGTTAAGCCATCGTTAGCGCCGTCCTCTTTGCGGTTAAGTAATACAGGTGTAAGTAGTGCACCCGTCGGCGTTTGTGACAGAGTGATGATAGATGAGGAAATAAACGAGTGATATTATCTAGTTAGAAGAGAGTGTATAAAGATTGTTGTCTAAAAGATTGCTACTATATGAGCCGTATGTGTGGAGTTTACATCGTCCCCTGGGGCAGTCGTGACCAGAGTGCGCGTGCGCAGATGTTTCCAACTTCTATTTGAGGTTGTCGTGTGTAACACCTTACATATGATGGTACTTTATTGTTCAATGCGATTTTTGATTATATAACTATTATATAAATTTAATAGCGTTTTATATAAAACAGCATTATTGCTGCTAATATTATTATTTTTTAGAATAGGTCACAGATAATATCTTACTTGAGCAATAATTCAGAGCATATTTCATTTTAAATGTAGAATTTAATAGAATTTCGATTTAGGTACGTACGTCAAACATTTCGGGGAAATGCGTTTTCTTGGTTACTGGTTCATAGAACGGAACTTAATTTAAGTTTTTTCAAATAGCTTCAAATTCAAAGCTGCACGACTGTGTCGAACGTGGATCACTGTTTCCAAAGAATTCGTGATAGTTGTCACGTGACATTGCCGGTAAAGCATCCCTCCCAAAATCAATTATGGTTTTATTGGTACTTTATACGCTTTACTAGCGGCTCACCCTCGCTTCGCTCGGGTTCGTCGCTAGGTACGTTTTAAATAGATATAAAAAGAAAAAATCTTTCTTTCTCACATTTTAATTATATGTTTTAATACTTACCTATTCCGGACTAAGAGAAATCCAAAAATTAAAATATCATAAAAATTGGAACGCGGTCGAACGGGATAAAAAGTATCCTATGTCCTTCTCCTGGCTCTAAACTACCTCCCTGCCAATTTTCAGCTAAATCGGTTCAGCCGTTCTTGAGTTATAAGCGAAGTAACTAACACGACTTTCTTTTATATATATAGATTACACATTGAGGTCGTTAGGTACCTAGCTGGCTATTATAGTATACCTATCTAAATGCCAGTTATATAAGCAAAATAAAATAATCTTATGCAATTTTATATCGCTTATCTATACATACATATAATAAAAGTGTAACTGATCGCTGTCTGTACATGGAAGATATTTGATAAAAACTATTATAAGGGGTCTTTCTAAACGCAAAACAATGATTTTTAGAATTTTTGTCTATTTGTGCGTTTGTGCGTGCTAATCTCAGAATCGGCTTAACCGATTTGGATGCGGTTTTCACTAATCTGTTCTGGTAAGCTTCACTTAACATTTAGAAAGATAGTTTTATTTCAATCGGTTCATAAATAAAAATGTTATGTCAATTTAAAAATGATTATCACTTGTCTTACGGTGAAGGAAGACATCATGAGAAAACCTGTCTGAGAGAACTTTACAAGTTTTCGAAAGTCATGTGTAGTTTACCAATCCGCACTTGGCAATGTGGCAGACTATGGCCTGATCCCCTTCGTACTGAAGGGAGGTCCGTGCCCAGCAGTGAGACGTTAAAAAGGGCTGAATACAATTTAAAAATCACTGAGGAACTAACCCGAGCGAAGCGAAGGTGAGTCGCTAGTATAAAATAATTACCGAAGTCAATGTCAGATCGACACAGGTGTTATTAGCAATTGGAAAATGATTTGTAGGTCAATAAACTTATGTAAATAATCTCATATGTATACACATACGTCCTCTGATCTGGTGGGCATCATGCAGTGGGAAGTGGAGAGCGCGTTTCGACCTCCGCGAACGCAATAATTGAGCATAGAAATCAAATTACAGATGATTGACGATGCCGTTATAGCACGACTGAAGCCGCAAATGCGACCGACAATCGGGCGGACCATGTCATTTACATTATAGGAATTTGACAGTACATAGTTTAAAATTTGTTTTTTTTTTCATTAGTTTAAACTATATATTTTACTCAAATTATTTTTATTTTATAATGAACGTTTAGTAACATTCATTGATTATATTTTTAATAGTTAACATAAATATTTGTTATCTAAACAATAATAAAGTGAAACATGGCTAGTAAAGTTGTTCTATATAGGTATAACGTTGTGTTATACATTCAATAAAATGTGTACTAAGTAGAGTATCGCCTAATAGAAATTGTTTACTACATCGATTAGAGTAAATCTTCGTTTGTTAGCCTACGGCGTCAGCAAGTTACTTTTGTAATAAACATTTATTGCTTTATTTCATTCAAAGTGAACAGTGCTAAAGCTAATTCATAAACAAAGCTATTGCAATGTTTTCCGATAGCCTTAGGTGTTGTGGCGTGCGATGTCAATCAAATTAATTGTTCTACTGTTATTTTTGATCGTGTTTCATTCAAAGGCACCGCCGCCTGTGGCCCTGTCTTATGAATTTCATACAATAACATAGAAGCTATAGGTAAAAACTATTTAGTTTTATTGAATAATATTTTTATGTTATTAAAAATTTTTTTGTGTTGATATTAGATTTAATAAAATATATAAATCTATCGTATATGATATTTGCATATTAGGGTATATTTTAGTACTAATCTGACTACTATATAAATGCAAAAGTTTGAATGGATGAATGTTTGTTATTCAGTCACGCTAGAACGGCTGAACAGATCTGGATGAAAGGCACATTGATAGATATAGTCTGGAGTTACACATAGGCTACTTTTTATCCCGGAAAAATTTACGGTGCCCGTGGGATAATTTGTTTTTGATTTTCACTAGGAAAGAGCCGCTAGTCATTTATTTAAACTATTTTAATTCGAAGTTGATTTTTTTTCATACATGGAAAACGTAAAATATGGCAATTAAAAACAAATAATAGCGCTTTAACTTCATTTATATTTTTTACAGACGTTTTAATAATAAAATTGTTTATTTGTTTTAATTTTTTTCATTTCTATTTTTAAATATCTATTCTAGCCTTGGAAATATAGGTTCTTACCTAGTGTGTCTTTATAATTCAACTTGAATAAAATAAAAACTTTAGTTTAAATTAATGAACCTTACACTCTGGTAGGTACTTCATTACTAACTATTTGAGATTATCTCATAGTATAAGTAATAATGAAAAACAATATATATTATATATGTATGTACATGAATCTGAATTATTAATCTTGGCGTTTTTATCTGAATGCTTGATCATAACACTAAAACTATTATGTGATATTTTTTATTACCTTTCAAAGATGCCATTCATTCAAGCCATATTATGTCAAACGAAAAAAAGACAATTTTCCGAGGTCTAGGTATTGATTTTAATAAATTGTGATACACGACACCAGAAATACTGAAGTGAAATCAAGCACTGTATACTTATTGGACGTTGGCCCGTCAGCCGCAAATTATACTATATCATTGCAAAGCTGGAAAAAGTGGTAGATGGGAGGCAATGGCAAAAAGGAAAGCGTCTCGAGACGGATGCTATGCGCCGAAAGCCTAGATTCAATATCTCTTGTAGCCTGCTTAATGGACAATAATTCAAAACTATAACTTGGCTTCTAGACACTTGTTGAGAGAATTTATTATTAACATATTTAAAAGATCGTTAACAAAAAAGATTTTTTACCTAAAGTAGAGTGATGGAAAAAAAATCTTTTGTACTAATACAATATTAAATCTTTATTATAAATAAATTCTAAGAAAAGGTTTAAAACTTTTCAAATTTTCAAGATGAATACATAATTCCATTAAGCATTCTCTGTTTTATATCTCTATGAATTTTAGTAATAAGTCTGCAAAAGATTATTTTCAGCGAAATGACTCTTTGAATCGTTTTTAATTATTTGCCTGTACATAAATTTCCTTTATTATGTAGGCATGAAATGAAGTTTTTATCTATAGTAACCTATACGGAACCTTTATAAAGACAAATAATAATTATGCTGTATTTTACAAGTTTCTCCGATGTTATGAAAAGAAAAGAATATCATTTAATACTGGTAGTCATAGTATTTAAAGTTAGTAGTACAATCGTAATCTTTCTCCTTAATGCAAATCGGTGAATCGACCGAGTCCATGTTCAACCTACTGACCCAGCCAAGGATTATCATGGAAAGCTCATTCTATTGTATACTATTAATTAAATTGCATAGTTTGCATATAGCCTAGTAGATTTGATTTCACTCAAACATGACTTTTCTGTCACCTATTCATAGGAAAGGAATATTTTTAATAATCTATACTAATATTATAAAGAACCAGAGTTTGTTTTTTGTTTATTTGTTTCTTTGTTAGTTAGTTTGAACGCTCTAATCTCAGGAACTACTAATCCGATTTGAAAAAATCTTTTTGCATTAGATATTCCGTTTATTGAGGTAGCCTATATAGGATATATTACATCAAGGGAACGGAGCAGTGATCATAAATGTCAACAAATTGGGCAGACTTTCATACATTATTGTAAAACTTATTGATGTCTGTAATATGTTTAAGTGCTTTAAGCTCAGAAACTACCATTTCAAAAATGTTTTTTGTATAAAACCAGTTTTTTTGTAGTTTTAGAGCGAGCGAAGCCGCGAGTTCTGCTTGTGAAATATAAAGTTTTATATACTATAAATTGGGTTAAACTATAACATTACTGTTAGTAACCGTTCTCCCGGTAAATTTTATTTACATGCGATTTCATAGTTACATAATCGGCTTTGTTGTTCAAATATAGGCATAAAACAATGAGCGACGTTGACGCCTGAGAGCGGTCCGATAGCTACCTTGTAAGGACAAGAGCCACAATCGCTTTAAGTCAACACATAAGGTAACTTCTGCGCCCCATTAGAGAGTAACACAACAAATTACAATTTCATTCAATGTAAATACGAGAAGCGTACTCGTAACTCCTGTCGATGCTAATGGTTGAATTTAGACACGCCTAATAGTTTATCATAAGGATTAAGCCATCTAAATCCATTGTGACAGCAAGTGTCAATTTATTCTATTCAATAGTGCTGCAGTCGCACTAAAAGGCATCAGCTTAAACGGTAATCTTTGTACATTGTCCTTAAGGAATGTCGACCACATAGTTTGCTGGTAGATACATTTTTATTAAAATGTTGTACTTGTCTGTTTTTTATTATCTAACAACGAAATTGTTAAGATTTGTACATTTAGATTTTATAACAAACAAATGGTATTGGTGAAAGTTCATTAGACATCACAAACTAGCTGTCACATGTCAAATTTAAAAATATTTCTTAAATATAGTCATATTTTATAATGAATAAACATATGTAATCATATCCTTTCAAAATCGGGGCTATTAGTATCTAGGCAGAAGAAATCAAAGGCGATATCCATAGTGTGCCAACCGGTACAAGTATGGTGAAACGTAAATAGCAGGTTGGAGGCATCCGGCTCATTGAATGCGCTGACCCCATCTGATCGCCGCTTGAGGCTAGTTGGGCACATTTGCAAGAAGTGATATCCGACATGAGAAAACAATACCTCTACCTACTAGTAAATCCTTTTCGTCGTTTCCAATACTTGTGAGACCTTTCGTGAATATTAAGCAAATAATATATATTCTAAATAGCACCCATATTATTATGTTCTAAGTAAAATCGTAGAAAGTACGATGTATTTTACAACAATTTCATGACATAAACTTGCTATACAAGTCAGTTAGCCAGTCATAAATAGGCAAGCCTATAATCTTGGCCTGAAGTCTATCTAATTTTTAGTTGTCATAAAAACTTTTTAAATAATATAATAACTGCACTCAACGACTATAAATCTGATAATGAAGATCAATCAAAAGGGAATAATTTTAAATGAGATGAGTTTCTTTTTGCTCGGTTGTATATATATAGCTATGTTTTAGTGATTCTCAGGTATTGCCTTTGCTGACATGGTTAATAAATTATGTGATTATTTCACGATCTAAGAAAGCCCGGGGTATGCAATTTTGATAGCAGCATCGTGTTACTAGCGGTCTGTATTCCTATTATTTTGTGCAACTAAAGTAAATGGCTTACTCTAGTTGGGATGATAAATATATACATACTAGCGGCTGAGCCTAGCATTGCTTGGGTTCGTCGCTAGGTACGTTTTAAATAGATATAAATAGTTATTAGCCAGCGTTAGCCATACTATACATTTTAAATTTTTTTCGTTAATTTTTCAGATATCTTAATACTTATTACGGTTTTAATCCCTATTCCGGACTAAGTGAAATCCAAAAAAATGTAATATAAAAATCTCGTTCTTGTGTTATAAATGGTGTAACTAACACGACTTTATTTTTTATATATATTTACTTTATTTTATATTTTTCTCTTTATTAAAACTTTCCGTGTACCTTAAGGAACATACGAAAATTTTTTTTGCTGAATTGGTCGAGCCGTTCTCGAGTTTTGCGCGTAGCAACATTCATTTTTAATTAAATAAATATTATTTAATGTTAAACTATTCAAAAATAGTAATCAATAGATTTTAAATATAAGGAAAATGTGAACGTGGTCTAATAGTCGATTTTCTGCATTGTACAATTTCACGTAAAAAAGAAATGACGATAATATCTGATTAATAAGGTTCACATTTTTTTCACAAAATAATAATCTATTTAAGAGGCTTTCATTACAATAGAAACCACTATTATGACTATTATTGTAACAAAAAAAATATAAGTGCTAGATGGATGTCGTTCAATGTTAACAATATACAATTTATTTGTCGGTGTCAGCTAATACATTTTTACAATAAAAGTGATATAAGCTATACCGTTGACTGCAAAGTGGACAACGATGAGACAAGGACCGTTACAAACATTGTGTAGGAAACGTGAGCGTAACGTAATGCAACTACCATCTCCCAATATATTGTTGGTCATATCGATAAAAAAAAACTATTTAGAAACTAATACAATTTGAATGCCAGCATTTTTTCTACATAGACATTGATGGGGTTATTGCTCTTAGAATGGGTAAACTAATATCATTTACTATTAGAATTGATGGTTCTCCATTGCAAACTAATTACATATTTAGGTCACGCATTAAATAATTGTAAGTAATAAATAATAATGCATATAAAAAGTTATTTACGAAGTATGTGCGTACTTTTAAGTGTTACTTCATTACAATTTTCATCATACTAATGTTTATGATTTCGTTTATAACGGTGATGTTAAATGTTATAATTGAAGGTTGTTATGAAGTTAACGACCAGAGATAATAATCAAAAATGTTTTATATTCTGTCGTGAACATAATTTAAATGTTTCAATTGTTGAACTGTAGGTAGAGATGTGAATTAATGATGAATTCCAATATATGTAACCATAAAATGGTTTGTTTTTTCGTATATTATTATTAATTGTATATTATTTTTGTTTCAGATAAGTGATGTTGCCCCGACCTTTATCACAGTTCACCATGCGGCTCTTATTTAGTTTAATGGTAATGGCGTATGCTGTAGAGGCGGCAAAAAAATTTGAAGGGACTCTGAGATCAGCGGCTGATGCTCCACCCCAAGACAATCTAGCAGTAGAAACTGGATCAGATGAGCCCGTTGTTGTGGCTGCCCCTGAAGAATATACCAATCCAGGGGCACCTCCACCTTCAAAGCCTGCATCCGAAGAACCTGAAGAGCCAGCGTCAGCACCAGAAACTGCGTCAGGAGGTATACCCCCTTCTGCACCGAGTGGAATATCAGCCCCATCCGCACCAGCCAACTCTCTTGAAGAGTGTGACTCGGAAAAAATTGGATTTGAACTCGTTACTGGGTAATTGCTTTGGTTTTAATTTACATAAAAATTATGTGCTATTAAAATTTCAAATTATAATACCTTATACAAATTTTAAGTATTAGATAATAATTCAATGTCACATTAAACCTGTATTTCTTGAGAATATACATTAAAAAAATTTATATGTAGTACCGTAAACATTAATATTGATTAGAATATTTAGATCATACAAGATTCAATTTAACATTTTCCTTTGTCGGTTTCATTAAGACTTGTTTTACGTCTGACTAGATACGTGTTTTCGGCACCCTCACACATTCTCGATGACATCCCTGGTACACTAATGCTTACTGATTGCCTCGAGCAATGCCAGGCCAACGACACCTGTCGCGCAGTTAACTATGAGACGGGACTTTGCGTACTGTTCAGCTCTGACGCCGACCAACTACCAGGTAAACTACTTTTATAATCAAATACATTTATTTTATGACTTGTATAAATGAAAACATTTTTTTAACCCTTTCTTAAAATTTCAAACATGTAACACAACTCCGTAAAGTGAAATAAAAGCGCGTTTTGGAAAGAAATTTTAAATTAATGAGCTCGGAACGTTGTATGTTAATTGCTTTGAAGGCTCGTTAAAAGATCCGTGTTAAGCCATCCGATAATGATGTAATTGTTGATTTTATTGTAGGAGCCCTGACCAAATCACAATTCCCTGTATTCACGATTTACGCTCAGAAGTCCTGTTTGGGAGTGAAACCGTGTGAACGCGCATGGTGCTTTGATCGTGTTCGTGGATATAACCTTAAAGGATTTGGCAAGAGGACCCATATCGTCGAATCAAGACAAATGTGCCTTGATCTGTGCTTAGGTGAAAATGAATTTGTCTGCAGGTAAGTTAATAAAGTTTTTTACTATTTAAATCATTCATATTGTTGATATTAAAAACCTTACATTGTTGATTTCGAAATAATGCAACAATGCCATAAATATTACATTACCTTTGGGTGAGTTAAATATAAATCTATTTGTGAATGTCCAATAGCTAACATTGAATAAACATTGAATAGGAATTTCAAATTGGTTAGCAAGAATTTATTTCCCCACCACAATAGAAGGAAGTGGTAAGATCTCATTGAAATGGTGTCCGTTTATTGTAGAGAACGCAGTTGCAATGTATAGGAAAGGTCATAACATCTTCATTCGTATACTGTTATTTGTTTATCTCTTCGATAAGGAAGTGAAAGATATCCAAGATTGTTGGAATTAATATTATACGCTTTGTTGAATGTAAGTCTGTTTCACTTCAAAGTGTATTAAACCGATGCCTTTACTAGGTCTTATCTTGCCTAACTGCTTTAGATTTGCTATCTCAAATATTAGATCCATAGAGTAGATAAACTTAGTCACTACTTTGTTGTATGCGCCTATTACTGTAACTGCCAATCTATTAACAGTTTAAATAATAAAATATATATATTACACACAAGAAAGCACTTACATATTATAAAAGGATCTTTATATATCTAAAGTACAATTTAAGTATGAAAGCTATAATTGCATTTTGACCAGTTAAATTTATTAATTAAAAATTTTTTTCATAAAATTTACTAAATATTTGCTATATAAAACGTATAATTTTCTCACGGTTCTTTTGCAATTTAAGAGAGTAGATTTTATAATGTTTTAACATATTTTTTTATAACACTATCTAAGTATAAGAACATGAAGTAGAGTTTATTTATTACACTAATAAATTTTTATTATCGATGTTTGCAAAATTGTTTAAGTTCAGCATATAAACCGTAACAAATAAAATCTTCTGAATAAGAAACAATTAATCAAGAAAATATAAGTAAAACAACTTTTTCTATGTTTCTTACTTAATAGGACTTTAAATGTGTACTTGTTGTGTTCCATAGATGGAGGCGTTCCATCAAGATAATGCTCCTCGTTTTTATATTGCTAAGTAGGATAGTGCCCGTATCGTAGAATAAAAAATTAATTAATATGAATTATTTTTTGATAGAAGTTACATATTTTATTATTGTTAACATTATTAAGTAAATAAAAACATCTTTAAACTAACATTTGATATTACGCGCTATATACAAACTACAAATAAAAAGACTTAAAATTAAGATTATAAATTATTAATTAGTTAATAAAGGAAAAAATCAAGAGGAATTTATGCTATGGATAGCGTATATTTAATGAGTTTAGAAAATATCTATAGGTAAGTCGATCAAACTATGCCAATTATACCTTATATGGTGTACATCTTCGAGCTTTTAAGTGGATAAGTCATTGGGTCCAGTTTCCGGGTAGGGTGTTTTTGAATTCTCGAAACTACTATTATATACAAAGCAGGGAGGCCAATTGCTGAGTCCATTACTTAGACGTCTAACGAAACAACACATAACTGTTCCATTGTGTTTATTTCTTGGCAAAGATTTTGGCTTTATTAACATATTTATAATAGTTCACAACTTCTCTTATTATAAGAAAATTTCCTGTTTACTTATAAGGCATTATTTTAAATGGTTTTCAGTTAAGTATAATTTAAACGTGCTCAATATTCGTAAGTATTTTATCGTTAAAAATAACCGTAGTTGAGCAAAGTTCGAAAGGCATAGCTGTGTACAAATCGTATCTTCATTGAAGCCAGCACAGACTTACCCCGGGCGTCGCAAATCGCGATCTTAAGCAGTCACGACATTTGGCAAATATTCCACAGACGTGGCGATGCGCGGTGTGGGAGCGGGCTGCCCTATCGCTTCCTACTTTCACGATACAATAACCGATAAGGCACACATTGCTCTTCGAGACCCATTGAATGTCTATAAATTCAAGTAGAAACCTGTCCTTAAATGTCACCGTCGAGTTCCCCTGCTCGAATGTTCATAGTACCTACGTCGATTTCGGTTGGAAGCTAAAGCTAATCAATAAGAATTCTTAAAATATGTAGTTATACACTTATCTATTATGTAAAGGTGTGTTTAAAGGATGGCGGTCAGTAGGTTAATTTAGAGGTTAAAATTTTTGAAAATGATAATACGCTGTCAAAATTTTGATCGGCCCGAACGATGATATATTAATTAGGGCAAGCTTTGATATGCATAAATAAGAAATTACATGGAAAAGATCAATATAATTGAAATTTAATTTTGTCGGTATTCACAATCTTTAAAGTCAAGAGGTTAATATAAAGTAATTGAATTATTGTCTATAAATGGTCTATTCTTAGATTAAACTAGGACCACCAAGGATTGAGCTTTACAAAAGGTATTGTAGTACTAGCAATACTATTAATATTGTTTGCTATTCACTATCAGTGGTTTCGGCTGCTGTGATTTTTCAGGATAAAAACTATGATGTCATATCTTAATATTAGTCCGAGACATACATAATCTATATGCGTGCAAATTTATCATAAATCTACGGTTTACGTGTAAAATAAGTTTGCATTTAAAATATTAGCGTTGTCAATATATATTATAATAAAGAAAGAAATAAGAAGTTATATATAATTATATATTAATAAATAATTTCAAGTAAACTATTAAAATACTAGTTATCATGAGGTGTTGTTTTATTTATTTGGAATTGATATTTACGTCATATAATACCGACTTGTTAAATGCGTTAATTATGAGTAAGCGACCTAACTGTTAAAGTAAACTACACATCATAAAAATGTCTTGTCAAAACTTCTTAAACAGTTTTATTTTATAGAGATAAGTTTTAGACTATCTTCAATTAATTTAAAAATAAATTCAGCACACCTAAAAATTTTAGAATATGTATATATGATATATAAACTATTAGTATTAAATATTAGCAAAATTTTAAATGCGTTCTAATAAATTACAAAGCTCAGGTCATCTGATCGAAATCGATAGTATATCAAGAGAAAATATTGACCAAGATGAACAAAGATAATACTGTCCTTACATGGGTGGTCACTATAAAGCAATAAAGGGCTTAAGGTCAAACTTACATAACAAATGTCTGATACGAACCAGTAATAAAACAGCTCCATACATACCTTAGCTTTCTTTTTTAGTTTGCAAGGCACGGAATTTATTCTGCTATGAATCTTTAACATTGTAAAGATACCAGACTTAGTGTATAATTATAGACTCTAGTGCATTTTATAAAAAAATGTAGATAAGTAAATGTCACATAGAGTAATCTAAATATTTTAACCGCAATCTTTAGCATTCTGTTAATCTACAATAAACCTCGCAATCCATTTTTAATGAGGAGCTTAACGCTTAATCTTGAAAGAGCAAAGACTTGTTGATATCACGAGGGCGAATCTTGAGAAAGTTCACACAGTTAAATAAACTTGCCGCAGCTATTAAAATGTGCGCACATTGTTGCAGATCGGCGAACTATAACAATAAAACGGGTGAATGCGTTCTGTCGAACATGGATCGTATCACTTTGGCTGGTACTAGCTCTTTCCAACCAAATGAAGGTAAAATTCTGTCTTTTTTAATTTTTTCTATATATTTTGATCTTAAATAGATATTAAAATTAATCATTTATTTTACTTCAAGATGTCGATTATTTGGAGAATAATTGCGTGGAAGAACCAACAAAGCTTTGCGAGTTTAAAAAGATGAGCGGTCGTATTCTAAAGACAGTCGACTCTGTATATCAGGATGTTCAAACAGTTGAAGAATGTCGAGAACTATGCCTTAATTCACCTTTCCGGTGCCATTCCTATGACCATGGAGATACCGGCGATCATGTTTGTCGTTTGTCTCACCATTCTAAAGCTACTCTTGCTGACATTCAGGTATTTACTCCATATTAACATAAGAATTTATGAAATAATTTCAACTTGATTGTTAATATAAAGTTACTATTTGTCAGTTTAGTACATTCATGTATGTGTAAATTTTATTTTAGGATCCATACTTGGAGGTACCCGAAGCTGCTACTTTTGAATTATCTTCGTGCTACAACGTGTCTATTGACTGTCGCGCAGGCGATATGGTAGCTCGTATTCAAACCTCAAAATTATTTGATGGTAAAATATATGCTAAGGGAAGCCCCAACTCTTGTGTAGTTGACGTGAAACAAAGTCTTGAATTCGAATTGCATATGGGATATAATAACATCGAGTGCAACGTCAAACAAAATGGACTTGGCAGGTAATTATTTCTATTACTTTGTTTAGTAATTAATTGTAAATAGTTTAATAAACATAAAATATCAAAAATTGTTGGACTTTTTGTAATTTCTAAAATTTATTTTACGATATAAAATATACTATTAATAATTGCCAACAGATATTTGAACGACGTAGTCATTCAACATCATGACACTATCGTTACATCTTCTGATCTGGGATTAGCAGTAACATGTCAATACGACCTGACTAATAAAACGGTAGCGAATGAAGTCGATCTCGGCATTCACGGTGACATTCCCACAGGAATTTCAGAAGAGGTCATTGTCGATTCACCGAACGTGGCTATGAGAATTACAGACAGAAGTGGTGATGACACTATCGCTTCTGCTGAAGTTGGAGATCCATTGGTAAATATTATTCGTGCTAATCTAATATCACATTACGATTTATAAACATTTGTCTAAAACCATTCGTCTTGCAGGCCCTTCGTTTTGAAATTATGGATCAAAATTCACCCTTCGAAATTTTCGTTCGAGAGCTTGTTGCTATGGATGGTGTCGACTCCAGTGAGATTACGCTTATCGACAGCGACGGTTGCCCAACTGATCATTTCATTATGGGTCCCTTGTACAAATCGAATTTAAGTGGAAAGGTAATGTATCTAATGATTCATAATGTATCGAAAATAGAAAAGCATAAAATAAAAATTATTTAATAATAATTTAATGTTTACATCATTACAGACGCTGCTTTCACACTTTGATGCTTTCAAGTTTCCATCATCAGAAGTTGTTCAATTCCGTGCTTTAGTCACACCTTGTATGCCTACTTGTGAACCCGTCATATGCGACGGTGGACCTAATGAACTTCGATCTGTCATGTCTTACGGACGCAGGAAGAGACGTTCGACTCCAGCAGCGCCTACTGACGATATGCTCTTAGTACAAACAATTCAAATCACTGACAAGTTTGGTTTTGATAAACAAAAGGCCAAGAATGTTACTGAAGATACCGTATACGTAAGAGAAACAGACGTTACATGCGTGAATGCGTCTGGAGCAATGTTAGCGGCTGCTGCTTTTATAGCAGCCCAACTAGTGGTGCTTGCAGCATGGACATGCAGTTGGCAGCGACGACGTGCAGCAGCTAAGGCTGCAGAGCTTCTTCCTGGACCAAATGCGCCTTCAGCGCTTTGCAAAGTCTATGACGCTAGTTTTTCGCGTACGCACCAGAGGCACTTTTGAATAGATTTAAGCGTGTTGACGTCTACGTCTGCAATAGTAGTATATTAATTTAATATAAATACCCCCGTCGACTCTAAGCTCTAAAAGGTAGCGTCTATGCCTAACGTTTATCTTTGTGAGAGCATAAGACGACGACAGCGGTTATAAGTATAAGTGTCGAAATGCATGCACTCTTGATGCCATGTCAGGCAATAAGCAGAATGCGCGACACGGAGACGGGGACGACCTAAACAGCGCGCGCGAATGTGGACGAATGTTAGAAATAACGCGTTGAATGAATCGGATTTTTGTGTGTACGAATGACTGGCTACGCTCGCTTGTCCCCTTCTCTGGAGTCATATTCGGGACTGTGGCCGTGAGTCATTATTAAGACCATGTCGCATTTTTTACTTTACACTTGGACCTCCTCACAGAAGTCCAAGGTTGTATTGTACCATATCATAAAGGTAGCATAAGAATGGTTTAGTAATAGTAATAAGTTAAAATTTCATATTGAGTACCTTTTAAGTAGATAACCGATCTTTCGACCTAAGTCAAGCAACGGTAGATAAACGGCCATCCCGACATCGTAATTTATTGAATTTAGCTTAGTTTTTTTTACATAATTTATGTTCGATTACGAATTAAATCTATATTATAAATTCTTATTTTTTATACAAATAAATGCTTATGACTAAAACGTGCTATGTCTTACAATATTAACTGAAAGTACTATATTTATAATGGTATGTTAGTGCCTTATTCAAATATTGTAATATTAAATTGTGAACTTTTATAAACTAATTTAATCCGTCCAAATTGCCAATTACCTGCAATAAAGTTTTTAATAAAATTATATTGTTTCATTTACTATTACCTAAATTAGATCTCATTCTGCCTATAATTAAGGAACAATATATTATGTAATTATTTCTAAGTACCTATTTAAAATAAAAACAATTTATTTTGATTGTCAGTTAGGTGCATCCTTTTCTTTAGCGTCATTAATCATAAAAACGGTAAAGAAGAAAAAAATTATCGTAGCTTGTGGATGAAAGGTTCTGATTTGATTAAAGTATACATTATAGTTAAAATACATTAGTCATCACGTTAAAAGATACTGAGCAATCACTTAGTAGTAAAATATAGGAATGACGGGGAAGATCCGACATAGACTCTATGAATATGAGAGTTTCAAAGATTATACAGTAAAAAAAAGCAATATTAAACTATTTAATTCTTACGTTTTACTTTTTATACATATATTAATCATAAATTGCACTTTAATTTTTTAAATTTAAGACTGATTTTTAGGCATAATAATAAAGAATAATGGTGGTATAGTACCATATCAAAATTATTGTACTACAATATTATAATATAACATATGGCAATTTTTTATCATAATTTAAACATATGATTGTTTAAAATAAAGCAAGCGCTAATTTATTTTAAACTAGTTTTTGTCTTCGGCTGGTTGAATCGCGTAGATGGCGAAAAAATTATCTATATGTTAATCTAAAATAGAAACTACCTTTATTCTGAATTTCATTTAAATATAGTAAATCACATCATAAACTTACTCGTAAACGTTAATTGGTTAATTACTTGCCAAGCTCTAATTATATATTGCAAATTGGTGGGTACATGATGAAAGCCATGGACAATGAAAAGAAAAAATAATTCGTAGCTTTTCAAAGCACATCACTTAAGAGATAAGGTAAATGAGTTCTGTAACGTTATCGTTAATCGATAATAGTTCGAATTAAATTTCTAGTTTCCCTTACTTAATAAAAAAAACATTCACTTACTGATACATAACGCATAGTATAAACCGCTGGATTTATAAGGTAGACATTTCATGCACAAAAGTGCCTTATTTAAAATTTAAAACGAAGATGATTAATCAGAAAATTTTCTCATTCTTTTAAAGACATAACCCATATATATGTATAAGATTAAAGGATCAATCCGGCATACTCTCTTTAAATATGTAAACGTGTCATGTTTAGTGTTTGTGGACTAAACAAAAATATATGCGCGCAACATCGTAAACCAAAAATTAGGTATCATAAAATCCGGCAAGTAACTAAATTTTCAAATAAGCTATTCTGCGATGAACTCATATACACTAATAGATACGTTAATCTGCCCACATATCAAACAAGAATTCGAGAACTGTTACTAAAATGGTCAAACGATTTGACCAGTTCTAGACAAGTCTGAAAACGGCACGCATAAAGATGAGATCGCTTAGTAGGGTTTGCGTGGTACAATCACGTGTGAAGGGGCACACCTCACGTCGGCATTCGTGCCTTAGATTAGATCGTAGAGTGCAGGCGACAGCGGCACGCGACTCTCAGACACGTGCCGCACTGACAACAACCATTAGCAAACGTTGCTAAGAATCTAAGTTGTGGTCCGAGATTAAGATTACTCCCAAGCGCAAGTAAATGACTCAACTCGAAATTCCTGAACAACTTAGATATTCTCCGGATTGCATCGGGCAGTTCTTCTAATATATTCCGATGTACGAGGTACATCTTCAATAAATAGCCAATCATTCTGAGAGTCCATAAAATAAAATTGTCCAATGCAGCATTGTCCGTGGGAGATAAAGTCGTTCACAATAGCATGAAATATTCATAAAATCAAACATCTTATGGTTATGTGCAGACCACCACTTGAAAGAAAGCTTAAATGGCATAAGACAATTCAAACTATACTGTATGTATAATTTCTTCACTTTCAAGGGTAATTATAAATATATGAATTCGATATTTTAAATCTAAATATTATCTAATGTTAACGATGTTTAACCATATCCTTGAAAACTTATGTATTTATAAATCATATTTGATCAAGAATGACTTGCTTCGGTATCTTGCTCTGATTCTATTGGACGAATTATTCGATAGTATCTTTTGCTCGGTTAAGCTACGGGAATGAAATATGACCGCCGGCTTACCTCTCGTAAAATATGCAGCAAGCTCTAAAGATTACAAAGGAGAATAATACAATAGAAAAATCAATTGTCTTACTCTGTATAATAACAAATGTATACATATATTTCGAATCGGTCGATATAAATATGCATTTACTTTTTATGTTTTTTTGCGACCTGAACTTTTATATGCACACATTAGTTGAGCCTTTAATCCACTTAAGGTCAATAAAATATAATGAAATGTGCTGGAATAACTTCTAGGAAATTATATAAGAATATTTTCCAATCTATTCATTTAATAGAATTACAGCAGGTATTTTAATTATTTTATTGCATTTAAATTTTATAGAAGACGTTTGGGATGTATTCTATAATTTTGTAATTATGTATATGCATGAAAAAAATTTGAAGTATAAGTATTACATCGATTTCGTTTTTTTATCATAACAATCTACGTTTATTAATAAAATGAAGCCGAAGTTTGTTTTTTAGTTTGTTGTTTCACGACCTAAAAAAAACTACGCGATGAAACCGTGGATAAAAGCTACTGTTATTATATACATATGTAGACAACATCCTTGCGGCGTAGAGAAATTTTATAACAGTATTAAACAAGTTTAAAAAAATCTCGAAAAGTTCTATTGAAATATATCTACATATTTGTTTTTGAGAAATCCACATTTAAGTAGAAAGATAAAAACATCTTTCAAACCATAAAATATATACCCTAATCAATGTTATATCTATTTCATTAATTAACATTAATTGTGTAGCTATATAACAATAACTTTTGTACACATGTTTGTCGAAAATGGAAGTTGAAATGCTGTTATCGTTGTTATATGGTTTATAAATAGTTTTGTTTTAGCAATTTTGGTTTTTACTATGCTTTCTCGTGGAAAAGAAAGTGTTAACTCATAAATGAAATTTAGACTTTCAATGTAATAAACCTAAAATAAACATAAACTTTCCCCAGCAACCACTATCTTAGTGTTTTTTTATTTAAATTTTTGTCGTATTCAAATGGGTACCTACATACGATGCAGAAAATTACTTGGCTCTGATCGTGCTACTTGATTACACACTATCTTCGGCGTGATGAGAGGTATTTGCTTAGGAATTAAAGTTGCTTGTAACTTACAATGTATATAGCAAATTATAAACAAACTGCAAAGAAATACAAAACAGTAGCTATGTAATAATAAAGATTAGATTTTGAAAGATAATCACGATTTTTTTTAACAAATCGTTAATCTTTTTAAAAGAGAAGATTTTTCAGTGAATTTATATCGTGTAATCGATTTTAGTTGGTTATTATGGTGATTACTCGATACTGGTAACGGATATTCATGGCGTAATTTGTGTACTTATTTGCATCAGAATCGTTGAGAGCAATCGCAGTCACGCAGACTCAGTGCGAAAACAAACCTGGTTTACCCGTAAATCAAAACTCAGTCTTGTAAGGACTGCACTTCAAAACTAATGCATCGGCCTGGGATCGTGAATTGAATTAGAAATATCGATGGAGCAAGCAATTTATTCTCCCATTTACATCTTCCTCTAAAAGTAATACACAAATATATATTACTTATACACTATAATGCTACTACTGCAATATATGTACATAGTATTTGTTAAATGTTACTACTTTAAAATACTAAAAAATATTAATTTAAAGCTAAAAAAAAGAAAAAAAAAGATCTGTGAGCTAAATTAACTTATCATTTTTTTTAATTACAGTTATTAATTAATGAAATATCACTATCTAATACATACAATGGTGACAAGTCTCAGTAAAACAGTTTTCAAGATAATACCGTTAGCGTAATGTGATATAGTACGGCTTATAATTTAGAACATGAGAATAACCATCTCAGGAAAGGTAGTGTCGTATAAACATTGCCTAAACATGTAACAAGTCACAGGCGTAATCTGAGAATGTGGACATTCAATTTCCTCCATCTGACACTATAATTATTTGCCAGTCACTTGTGGTCGGATCCACAAATTTCTTAGGACGTGCAGTTTTTTTTACTTATTAAATTTTTGAGATATCAACACTGCGGGTGGTGGAAAATCCATTCGTCATAGTAGCGGGTTATCATTAACTTATGCTCCGCTGTTACTTATATGTGAGCGGGAATAAAACTGGTAGGTCGAGCACCTATGAAGGCTAGACAGGACTATCAGTCAAACTTATATTGCAAAAGTGATTTGGTTGATTTGTTATCATCCGTGACGAATGGTTTTCAGCGTCGTTTAATATTAATATATTCATTGTTTCGAAAGTACTAGATCCATCTGTAACCGATTAGAAAGGTGGCTTTTTCAATAATAATTAATATTTTATATAGGTAATTCGCGGATTTGAATGTTCTATACTTTAATATACTCGGATATTATAAAGGCAACTAAGAAGCGTAAGTAGAGACGAAGCGAGTCTTAAACTACCTAAATTAAGATCGCATGGCGGTTCGACAATGATTCGTGAGTAATAAATCGCGTGGCACAATAGATGTGCGAATAACAATAATATATAACGAAACTGGGGTTGAGTGTCCGTGGCGTCGGAAGTGTTGAGTGAGATCACGAAGCGGACGCGCTAACAATCCACTAATAGGGATCGTGTTCGTGACCCCGCCTCCCTTACTCGACAATATTATCCCAACTGACGGATACCATTATTGCTTCTATTGTAAACAGCCAATCTTTTTTCATCGGCGCAATATTTAATACTGTTTAAAATCATTTAGCCTCGATAAGAACTTACGCTATATACCTATTACATCTAATATATTTAAATGAGCAATTCTTGTATATATATATATACATATAGATTAGTCTTATGTCTGGGAGAACGCGTGTTTTCGAATTTTCATGCGGTTTTCTTTTGCATTGTCACTTCTGGTGGGTGGGAGGCGCCACTGTGCAACTGTCTACATCGTGTCCGTATTGAAATCAAGTTTAAAAATATTATAATGGAAATAATCTAAAGAAAAGTGTTAAATCTTACAAATTAATCGATAAAACCTATGAGCAATATGTAAACATCACCAAGATGATGTGTTGAAGAACAAATGAGCTTTTAAAAATCCACCTACCAAACAAATAACAAAAGTGACAAACATAACATATAGATACTATCAGTGCAAACCCATCTTCTCTGTGTGTGATGACCATAAAACAAAATAATTTGTGAAGTGAAAGCGTAAAATATTAAAACATAAGTTTATAACCTCAAAAACTAATACTCGGTATAAAATTGCAATTGAACTAGGTATAATTGGTGCTCTTTTTCAATCAGCTTGTTAATAAACATGCAACAAGAAATAAGACAGCAGAAAACAGATATGTTAGAAATGAAAGAAGACATTGAAAGAACAATCAACAATAACATACTTAAATGAGAAATTTAAACACTAAGAAATAAAAAATTAAGTCCGTGAGAAAAATCCAGGAAAAAAGTACCTCAATAAATAATTTATAAAGACATATTAGGCGCAAGAACTTGGTTATGTTCGGAGTAGAAGAAGCTGAAAAATCCTATCATGAACTAGAGGAAAAAATAATAAAAATATTAAATACAAATTTCAACGTTCAGTACGACAGCAATAATATTGAAGCCGTTAGAAGAATAGGGAAAAAAGGTGTGAAGGTTAGACCAATCATAATATCATTTAGTACAATAGGCCTGAAACTAAAAATCCAGAAAAATGGCAATTGTTTATGTGGCACTCAATATTACATTAAAGAGGACTACCCAATAGAAGTCTTAAACAAACGCAAGGAGTAACAAGACCAACTGAAGATAGAAAAAGACCTAGGCAAAACAGTTTTCATTAAATATGACAAACTAATTGTTGTGGATAGTAATAAGAACACCTGTCGCCGATACTCAAATAAAAGAAGTCTGCCTGTATCTCCAGAAACGCCTTACCTCAATAATAAACAAAAACTAACAAATAAACAACATACAAAGCAAACCAAACCTGCTAATATTAAAGACTTAATATTACAAAACCCAAAATTAACTTTCAACCACACAAATGATAACCGGGAACAACTAAAAACAACACAGCAAGATACAGTATAGTAAGCACAGTAGGAACCTCCTCATCTTTATCCCTAAGTACGGCCGGTGTACGTGGGGTACTTCGACCGTTACCCTCCAAAGAAAAACAGACATACAATGAACAAAGGTATACATATCTTCACCAGAAAAACTTCTAGAATTAAAAGCAGCATTTCCTACAACAAATCAAAAGAACACAAAGATAAAATTATAAACTTTATAGGCATATCAGAAACAAATTATATATTAGAAACAAAATTTGAAAAGAAACCCTTTGCAATCATACAAGCATAATCTCCAACGGTAGCCCTAGATTTACACTAGGGGCACTCGGGGCTAGTGCCAAGGGCGGCAAATTTTTAGGGGCGGCAAAATTTGGAGTGTGAGGTTGTCAAAATGATAAGTTAATAAATAGTCACTAACCAAAAATTGAAGTTAATAATAATAATAATAACTTTATTCATAAATAAGAAAATTGAACATAGAACATAGTAATTTTTTTTTTACAGTAAAGGCTTGTACAAATCAATTTCATACGGTTGGGTGAAGTACTGTACTCCTTGCTAGGTTATAAAAATAATCTGTATTAAGGAGTAACAGTCCCGTTCCCCTTTGGATATTTACCAGTATATTTATGTACCGTACAATATGTTTTCATTTATACTATCAACTAATTACAATACTAGGTTCTATCGTTAGTAGTAACATTAACTTGATAACTGAGTAAATAAATGAAAATGAAAATGGATGAATATGTGTGCGTGTGTGTGTGTGTGTGTGTGTGGGTGGTATGTGTGTGAATGTGTGTGTGCATGTGTGTGTGTGTATGAGTGTGGGTGTGTGTGTGCATGTGTGTGTTTGAGTTTATACGTCTAAGTTAGGTATTTCTCTGTTTCGTTATAGGTTTTGTTTTGTAGGAAAGAACGAACACTTTTTTTGCAGTTGTAGTAGGATAAGCCGAATATTGGACATTTTTGATTAATCTTATTGTATAAAGATAAGAAGTAATCTTATTGTATAAAGATAATAAGTTAAATTAAATATAATCAAATAAGTTATAAATATGATCTGTTAAAATACAATGTTAAAAATTATTAATTAAGTAAGAGTAATTATAATTTAAAATTATAAATAAGCATGTATAGAATAAATAAAGCTTTATTATTATTATTTCTTTTGCATTATTCCACGCAAAATATTATGTTTGATAATTTAGCAGGCTCGGATATAAGCATCATGGTCAAGCGGCCAATGCTGTCTGGGTTCGTATCCCGGTCGGATACAAAGTTTTTAATTTTGTTTTTTTTTTGTATTTATTCAAATTCTTAGTTTGTTTTTTTATAATGTTTTTTGGCCAAAAACTCCAAGCGAGCTCGGTCGCCCAGGTACTTTTCAATAATATTTAATAGGTTTTAAAACTTTTAACATATCAAATGACAAAAAAGTTCTCAAATACCTATTACTCAAGTTTCATTAGTTTGAGCTGAATGCCGGTGCGGATCGTTAGGTGTAAACGCATATATGTACGGTGAAATAACTAAAAACTTAATTATTTACTGGGAAAGATGGAGTCTTTGTGTGCAAAGCAATAGAAAATAGCTAGTCAAAAATGATTGTATTTGCAGCGTTTTCGCGTTGCGAAACTACGTTATTGAGCAATTATGCTCCGTGATGATAGGGTAACTTTTGATAGGAAACAAGTGTGCAATTTAGTATTTGAACGTAAAAAAATAAGTTTTGCTTTATATAGGAAATTGTAAAGTCGTTAAAGGATTGGTGCATTCTCAATTTTTTGCGATCGTTGGTTTTATTTGAGATAATTATAATTACTAAATATGTTATCTCTCTTTTTAATTAAAACGAGGTTTGATAATATAGTTATTAATATACAAAATTTTATTAAGGAAAGTAATCTTCGTAATAAATCATTGAACAAGACTAATGGATCCTGCAATTAGTTTTTATTTCAAAAAGAGTCATTAATAATATCTTAAAAAAACACTTCATGATTTATTAAAATATATCAGAAACTCAATTATAAACAAACATACATTACATTAATGCCTTGAAGCCATTAACAGGAAATTGAATTGAATCATGATATTAGTGTTTACACGAACACTTTAAGCGTTATGTAGAATATTGTATGATATTGTAATCCCTCAACGACCGCGGACACGCCGGCGTTACAGTTACCAATAGATTTCTTAGAAATTTAATTAGTTTATTAGAAATTTACCTGGAGGTGATAATCATAGTAAAAGAAAGTGACTGACGAATATAAGCAAATTCGATAATCGTACGAGAAGAAATGTTTGCATAATGAAGAAATCCAAAAAATGAAGAGTCAGGCAGGGCAGGATTCTCATACTTTTAACGGTATAACTAGACACTATATATAAGAAACAGTTGAAAAAATTGCAATATTCTTAGAGCTATGTAAAAAAATATATATTTTATGTTACTAAATATGTACTTACCCTTAATCGTTGGTCACCAACGGTCCAAACGCGGCTCGCGAAGTCATTAGACGCGCCCACTATGTATGCGCCCGTCGAGTCGAAATCCACTGACATCACGCCCGCGTTGGATCCAACGAGCGTCCCTTTGCTTTCTATTGTTCCCACTGCAAATAATTGTATTTCAATATTTCAGTAAACTTAATTCTCTAGTTAAAATTCTACTGAGGCTACTAAAAAAGGACAGATCATGTAGCTACAGTTCTAAACAATGGATGTTTATAATAAAAACAATTTTTGACTTTATACATATTATTTGTAATAGATATAAAAGTATTATGGCTAATCAAGATTATATAATATTCGTTACTTACGTTTCGATACGTCCCATAATTTAACTTTTCGATCTGCCCCTCCCGTGGCCACTAATCGATCCGTTGGACTCCATTTAACGGCATTGACCTCACCGTCATGAGCATCCTAATTAAATATAACTATTAGCAGTTAAAAATAATAACAAATACAAAAATATGTATGATTAATTAATATCGCGTACTAACTATAGTAATTAATTTCGTTAGTTTTGGTAGATTTTCACGTTAAGAGTTTATAAGAATAAAATAATTTATACGATTAGATATGTTTGATTAATAAAAACAATTTGTTTAAGTAAAAGCGAAACACCACTTACAAATCACCAAATCTCAGAAATGATAAATTCTATAAAATTTAAATTTGGTAGATAGATAGAGATTCCTTAGGTGTAGGGCCGAAAATGGGATTAGAAGTTTGATGAAAATCCGTTTTATTTAAATTACGCAGACGGAGCCACGTGCAAATGTTAATCAATACATATAATAAAATTGTAGCTAAGCCGAATCTGTACATTAAATATTTTTTGGGAAATCTTATAATGAAATAGACATGATTATCGATACAGAGGCAGAATCTATAGTTTTTAGAATTTTTGTCTGTCTGTCTGTTACCGCTTCACGGGAAAACCACTGGAGGAATTTTGATGAAATTTGGTATGATGATAGCTGGTTATCCAGGTCAACATATAGGATACTTTTCACTGCGGGAAAATATCTCATTTCTGAGAAAAAATACAAAAACTGCATTGTAAGAGTATACTAATATGTAAATTCTAAGAATTGGGTTTTTGGCCATCTGAACGCGGGAGGAGGCGCGTGCAAATGTTATTATAATGCATACTCAGCACGATAAAGTATACTTTAATACATTAATAAGAAATCTACATTAAGCATTCTCAGAATATATGAAGAATCCACACATAATATCTTCTACTTCTTGCGAAATTTGCACTCACTATCAAAATAAGAAATTATCAAGATAAAAAATTCATAAACGGGCGTAAGATTAAGGATGTAAAACAACGAGTTTGGCTGACAGCCGATGCAAGATAATTCTGCAGTAGTCATTTATTTTTTATATTTACAGATTCACATTCAATAAAAAATTTATCGTTTTACAACAATATGCCTTTAAAATTAATTCGTTTATATTAATATTTATAGCCACAGGAAAACCAAGTCAAGCATTTCGTGAAGTTAAGCGAATGTATTTAATGCACATTTACAAAATGAAATTAAAGTAATATTTTGAACGTTAATCTCCAATAATAATTACATACAGCAGGTAGAAAGCAAAAGACATATTTCATTTCAATAAAACGATTAGAGCATAAAAGCCAGTCAGTACTGTACATTTTGAATATAATCATCAATCTTGTTGACCGTCTTATTAAAGTCGGCCTTGCCACGGTCGCGGTACGAACAGGAGATGTCCTGTCGGCTGTCACCATAAAGTAGTAATGCGACATGATCATTAAGATTAAAAACCATATTATCAACAAAAAAAAAAGATATTATAAAAAAATATTTATAAACAAACTTAAATGTTTCGATTTATAGATAATTATTTAATACTATGTAACATGTTGCGATATTCGTAATGTAGATAATTTATGATATATTCATTAATGCTATGGAACCTTACGTAAATGCAATGAAATGTCGACGAATCCGTTAGTGTATGCTAGTAAATATAAAATATCAGATAACATTCAATGTACTGCGATACTTTTCATTTATCTCTCGGCCGTACGATTATTGAATTAATAAGGTATAAGATGAACTATTCGCGCTCAAAAGATGATAGAGTACCATCCGCTTGCTCAGAACGGTACTTTGTCATCTTGTAATAAAGTATCCACATCAAAGAAAAATAACTTATAACTTAAAAGAAAGGAATTTCCTTTAAAGTTGCGATGTAAATTATGAAAAACTTTAGGTACTGAAAAATTTATTACCATTGTCACAAAGTGAAAATTTTGGCGATATTTTTTTTATTAATATTCATTGCATTTTTCACTTTCTGTATAAATATACCTTAGCTTTATGAATTAAAAAAGTTCGAAACACTAACAACAATTATTGTTTTTTCGCTCATAATGTTTGACATATTGATGATACATTATAGAAATGTCAAGTATGTAGGTATAATGTACATATATACTTTATATCTTAATATATATAATTCTTCTGTACGTTTGTTTGTAACCTACTCCTCCTAAAGGACTGGACCGATTTGGATGAAATTTTGTGTGTATATTTCAGTGGGCTTCTGGATGGTTTGAAAACACAATTGGATCCGGTAGGTGGCACTGCTGTCAGTGTGCCACTGATCATCTCCTAAACAGCAGGGACGATTTTAATGATATTTTTTGTATAATATGTTCGAGTGGGTCTCTGCATGGTTTGAAAACACAAACGGACCCAGTAGGTGGCGCTGCAGTCGATGTGCCACTGATCATCTCCTAAACGGCAGGGACGATTTTAATGATATTTTTTGTGTATGTTCGAGTGGGTCCTTGCAAGGTTTGAATTCACATATGGAGCCGGTAGGTGGCGCTGCAGTCGGTGTTTCACTAAATTTTCATAAAAGACTCCATTTTCAAGCGATAAATAAATTTAAATTGTTGATTAACTAAAATAAAAATCGATATGTGTATGTATGTTTCATATGGACTCCAAAACAGCTGGAGCGATTTTGATGAAATTTTCAGATATTAGCCCAGCGGGTGATCCTGTGAATTTTGTTAGCGATCAGAAGTTTGTTAGCGATCGGCGAAGCCGCGGGTACTGCTAGTTACATATAAACTATTTTTGGTAGGCCAAATTGATAATGAATATTTATAACACCAAAGAATTTGTCGTGTTTTATACTTATCTTACTAACATGGAAACTTTTTATTAAGGACTGACCTAAAGTTAATACAAGGTCCACGTATTCAAGGATCAATAATATATAATTGATCTATTGATTATATTATTTACTTTAAAGTTTCATACATACATTTTTCAAATCAGTTTTTTTTTAATATTTAATGTAGGTACTTTTAGAAGGCGGATTTCTAGTTTATTTAATATTATATACATAAATTATTGGATAGAGATCATTAGAAAGCGTTTAGTGCAAAATTGATTAATTTAATTTTTTTAGCTAATGAACATATTATTAAAAAACACTTTATTAAGCGAAAGAATAATTAATTATTTCATATAACGGTATTTTGCGAGGAGACTAGGGTGTGGGTCCCGGGACGTCTCGTGTCTCGAAAACGTGACTTTTCGTAATTTTAGTTGTTTCGAGTCCCGGAACTTTCGAGTCGAGACTCGAGATGAGACAAGATTATCGAAATTGTTATGTAATCATTTTTATTTTCAAATAATTGAAAGAGCCTAGCGCAATCTGTTAGTTTAATGAATAATTACTTCGTGTACTGCGTAACTATTGAGTATACAACACAATAGATGCGTTTGCCAAGCCGCCATCATGCCTACATTAAGGAGCACGCCCAGATTAAGGAGACTACAATCACGTCGCCAAATTTGGTTGTTCTGTAACGTTTGCATTATGACTGTATCTGTGTCAACAGACAGCAACGGAAAACTTACAGAAAGCGGAAAACGTAAAGAAAGTTTGGAACTACCTACTGTTTAAAGCCTTAAACACAATCAAACCGACATCTGTTGAAAACGAGAGTGTTCTCCTTGTCCGGTGGCATTATTACAAATATCAGAAGCAGACGGTCGGACAAAGCTGTTGTCGCTCTAATTTTTTTAAAAGCCTATTTTATTAAATCAGCAAAAAAGTCTAATTAATGTGTCAGTTGATAAGTCTGTTTTATTATTTCTATTTAGATTGTTTAATTATGAAACAAATCTGAAAATGAGAATTAACAATGTTGTAATTTTGACCAATGATTTGATACTAGAATTACTAGATAATAGTAAAGTTATTAAGAATTAGTATGATTAGTAACTAAATTTCTTTTATAACTATAAGATTTAACTGCTTAAAAATTAATCTGTGTGTGATTAAAAGAAATAAACAAAACAATTATTAAGACTGAAATTAATGTTAAAGTTATTAAGATTTAATTTTCTGTTTAAGAAATGTTGATTTTTACAAAAAAATGACTTTTTATAAACGTTTCACCGGAAATTAACTCAATTAAAATTCTTCAAAAAAGCCTTACCCTCTTAAGAAAAACAAAAAAAAATCTTAAGTCTCGAAGTTCTGGGAAATCCCGAGACTTTGATTGTCGACTGCCTCGTGTCCCGGGACTTTGAAATTGTCGGGAATTCCCAAAGCCTAGACCCCAACCCATTATGTGCCTCAGAGAGAAATAAGCTGCTTTTTATTTTCCAAGTGTTCATTATAATCAGAATTCGGAATTAGCCTATTGAAAAAAACCACCTAGAGACATCAACATCGACTCACTCAATAAATTATACATTATTGGACTAAATGGTCGAGTAGGCAATAATCACAATTACTACACTTCTAAAGATACTTTTACTAACAATAAAACTTAGTCAGATAGCAGATAGCGGATAGTAGTAGTACGGATAACTAAATTCAAGAAATATCTTTACACAGTTTAATATCACTTTATCATTCAATACGTATTTTCGAATTATTTTTTTATAGCTTTGAATTTGTCCGTAAGCATGCGAGGAGCATAACCGTATCCGTACAATCGATCCATAATAAATAAAGAAAATAATATTATACATGATTTAACATATATCGGGGCTGATTTTTCAATAATCTATAGGATGATATTTATTATGTTTCAATTAAAAATAATTGTTAATTGTATGTATAAAATAGTTGTATGTAATTAGTTTACTTTTGTTAGTGGCGTTCAAAATATAATGTATATATAGAAATATACAGCTATAATATTGGTATAACAAGATACATAAAAGATTGTATATATATTTTTAATGATACCAATTCTCCATAAAATCGCTATCATAAAACTTTCTTAACGAGCAGTTATCGGAAATAACTGCAGAGGCCCGCGATACGTATTAGTGTGGACATAGGCAAGATGTTTCGAGATTTTTTTACTAAAGAATAGATATGCTATAAGGATAATTTAAATAGGCTTTTTCTGGCTATCGATTATTATTCTGAACTACCTCATTTCAGATGTATCACGTGTGATGATGTACATTTTATCACTACATATTATTATAAAACAAAATCCCCTACCGCGTCTGTTTGCCTGTCTGAATGCGATAAACTCATAAACTACCCAGCAGATTTTTGTATGGTTTTTGCCAATAGACGGAGTGAATCATGAGAAAGGTTTAAGGTTTTATGTAAATTGGCTGAAATATGACGATAATTGTTGAATATTTAGGAAAAAATCATGCTGACTGGAAGCTTTACTGGCGTGTGCCGCGTAAACTATCGCAGACAATGCCACGAAATATTCTAATAAATTTAAAAACATAAGAATTACTACAAAAAACTTCGCGATATATAGTATTATATGTTTATCTATTAAGGTGGACTCACAATAACCATTTTTAACGGTTTTATTTAGCTTGCCCTGTTTGTTTTTATGGCCATACCAAAAATAATACTTTATTATATTATATTAACATATTCAACACACTTAAGCACAACTTAAGCATTTAGTTTAAGGGGGTGAAAATGGGGATGAAATTTTGTATGGGGAATCAATTCACATAATCAATCTATATAATTCTATTATAATTGCAAAAGTGTACATGTTTTTTATTCCTTCACGCCCAAATGGACTAACGGAATTGGATAAAATACAAAAATAGGTTTTCTTCTGTAACTTTACTTTGAATCTTCCGAAATTTAAAGACATAACCTATTTTACATATATTTACGTTATAATTTTAATTCAGCTGTTTTAAATTTTTTATCCTAATATTTTCATGTCACCAAAATAGGAAAGCGAATATTATAATCATTTAATAATGATAAATTAAAAAAACATTACCGTGGTCAAACGTACAACGTAAAGGTTACTAAAACAATATAGTCTACAGTACACCACGCCTTTTTCTTAATTATTAATAACTAGCGACTCGCGTGTAAAGGTTTGTCCCTAGGTTGATGATTTTCCATACAAACTTTCATCCCCATTATCACTCCCTTAAAGGATGACTTCTGGGACAAAATCTATCCTATGTCCTTCCCAGAGTCTGAAACTATCTTCTTATCAAATTTCATTTAAATCTTTCAAGTAGTTTCGAAGCTTAGAAAACACACAAACAAAAAATATTTCCTCTTTATAATATTAAGCACAGAGAAGTTAATCTCTCCGAACTTGTTAAAATAACGTGAAAAATTTATTAATAACCGGCTGATTTTCATAGTATTTATTAGTAAAAATATCGTCCTACAAATAAAATGGCAGAATTTCACGGTTCTACGCTTGGATACTGTCTGCCGAACGGCGATACTTATATTCATTAATAGCAAGCTAATTTTTTTTTTCTATAAGAAATTAGTGAGAAACATGAGATTACTATCGTCCTACAAAAAAGTGTTATATATAAGTGGTATAAAAATTAAGACAATTTTATCCAAACCATCTGTTTTGTAGGACATTTTTTCTTGTTTTGTTGGATTATACCAAGATTAAATGGCAAAGCAACCTGTTAGTAGTAAAATTTAGGTAATCAACGTTTTGGCTTGTTTCTTATCAACCTACAATTGTATTTATGACTATCAAATTTTTGTAAAGAGAAAAGTTGGGCGTCTCGTCAAAAAAAGCTTGAAAAATTAAACTTGTTATTAATCATTAAGAGAAAGGCGTAATGTACTGTAGAATAATAGTAAATATGGTACTTACAAATCTTAACGCCACTTTCGTTGGCAAAGATGTCGTGTAGTACGGCATTGAGTCTATAATTTTGTCATCTGAACTGCTTCCAGAACCACCACTATTTCTGCTACCGCCTTCTCTAGCCGCTTCTTCCAGCTCTTTTCGGACTTTGTCACTTTTTTTCCTATAAAGAAGACACAACTTACAATGTCAATTAAATATTTGTTTAGACAATATTTTTTATATATTTTGTGCGTAAGCTTTATATACAAGTACGTATATGTATAAGCTTGATCGACTAAATTTTCGGTACCACTGTAGATGCTTTCCTTAAATCCTCTTGCTTGCCGTTATATTATTCCATATCCATACAATTTATCGTTATGTTAGCTCACCTTGTGAATTCGACGGTTTGTGCAAAATGCACATGCATCATGCAAATTAAAAAAAAGACATGCAAATTATACAAAATTCTTAATGTTTTGATATTATAAAATAAGTCAAAAATATTTACAAAATTGCAATTGTTAACCAAACCAAAATTAAATGGTATCCAGTTTAGTAAATGGTAATAAAATAACGTAAAAAAACGTATGCACAAAAAAATCTGTTCGTGTTTGTAACATTCATGCATTTTTTCTGTAAAATTGTTATAATAAAGTTTATTTATTGCAAGCCTTTATAAATTTACTTATATGAAATAAAAAAAACATTCCATAAAAGTGTAATTAATAATTAAAAAAATAAGTGCAGCCCAAGGAACCACATCACATGACAACCGTTTAAAAACCGAAATTTTACAATTGTATTATAGGTAATAATAAAAAGTAACATACAAAGTTATACATACTGTTTATGAATAGCTTACTAAAATATTTTAATATATTCATTACACAATGCCATCATCACGGTACAGTTAATAATAATTTTAAATCGTTTAGAACAAATAAAAAATTTCAATACATTCATTTGAAAATACATATCTGTAGGTAGTAAAATACAGATCAAACCACAAAGAAACAAGTCAAAAAATACAAAATACAGATAAAAGATAGTTTAAAAACCAATCAATATGTAAAAAGTTTTATAACGACAATGATAAGTGGAAAAATCGAAAAAATGAGTCAGTTTCAGAGTGCAGTTAAGTCATCGTATCATTTGTAATATAAAGTAGGCATTTAGAGCGATACAAACTGATAAACAAATCTATTTAAAGATTTTAGATTGTTAAATAATATGCTTAACATCTTTAAATAAATTATTTCAAATAAATATCACTTTTTAATAGAATTTTGCTACGAACGATACGATACATGGGGCATCAAAATGAAGAAGTAAATGTCCTTTTAACATCACAATGCCTTATTACCACCAAGACCTCATTCATATTATATCAAACTCACCCGAAACTAACTCTACCAAACGTGTTGATGAAAAACGCAGTAGGGTTGCTTGACCTGTTGAACAAATTAAACAAAAGGAAGCAAACAAAAATCATAGACAACTATGCAAGCTTCTAATTATGCGTATCACACGCATATCCCATACTAACACTTACCTACATACTTACTAAGGTTTACACACATACGGTTTACATAATGTTAAATAGTGCCATCTAAAGCAAAAATTAGTGATTTGAAATGAAATTACTTATAAATTTATATACTAATATGAGAGATAAGTACAGTGCGATATAAAAAACATACAAAAATATTTTTCTACTAAATTTCATTTAAATTTGAAATTATAAATTTTGGTAACCCACAAGTGAAATGTGCATTTTTACAAAATTTCTAATATTTCGTTCCAATCAACCTTACAAAAGTTCTAAAACTAATTATTGTACATATACCTTAGTCCCAACCAAATAAATTATATAAACATATGGAAGCCATACAGCTTTACACTAACATAGTTCACACAAAAAATAACAGCAAAAACATTTCTAAATAAAATATGGAAATATAATTTGTAATCGAGCTATAAATTAGGACACATGCATGTGATTTATTCTAAAGATCTATCAGAACTTCAAAGATATATTGTAAGATAACTAACTATAAATCTTACTTTATGAAGTGTTCGTTTTCTTCATTCATTTTATCCGCATCTTTAGCTTTGTACTTAATAAGTCTTTCAACGAGTGATCGATTTTCATCCTGTAAAAATAAATTTGAGGAGATATGAGATTTTTTCACTTGTAAATTCATTATACTTAAATACAACACAACACCTTTTTAAGCATAATAACTATATCTTGAAATATAATCTCACATAACACTTTATAATTATTTGATTGATAAAATATGTTATAATTTATTAAAATAACTGCAATATCAAGACTGACTGAAGTAAGTTTTTCGACTGGACGTGGAATTCGTAAGTAATATCATAGGTGATATGGACGCAAACGTGTTATATATAAAGATAATCACATGAGGGCCGTAAAATATACAGGGCGTTCCTGTTGTGTTATGACTTCGATTAAAACATGTGAATTACATATATTTTTTTAAATTAAATAAAGTCTTTAAGTGTGGAAGGTCATTAATTGAACATCAAATATATTCACGTAAATTTAATTTTAGGTGTATTATTTAGTAAAGGTTTTAATCTTTATTTTGCTTAAGTTTCGATAATTTCAAACGATTAATTCTATAGTTAATGAAGAAGAAATAAAAAGTAAAAAATCTATAAAGAATTACTTATTTATTAGATAAAACATTTGTAATATTATATTAATATAAAAAATATATAATAATAATTAGGTAAATATAAAAGATAAGAATCACTCTGGGTATGATGGACAAAACTGTAAATTGGTCTGGCATATTGCCATGATTGAATGATGTAATAAAAATTCAAAGATCCAGTGGAATAGTTTGAATCCAGCTATGTGAACGTTTGGTTTAAGTGCGGCGAGAGCAGTTTGGGACGCGCTGTATAAACATTTGAATGTTTCTAGGTAACAATAGGATAGCTGTAATTATATTTTTTTCTTCTCATCCTCACGCGTATTTAAGAAGTTTCTCACTTAAATTTAGAAAATTCATAGCAATGCCAAAAACATTAAACAGAGCGTAAACAGATGCACGTTTAGTGACTTTTAATATATTTCCAGCTCCCATATAGTGTCGAGGTCACTCATTCATGTTTAAAATAACGACTAGCCTTGAGTATTATAACTTCCTAACTCTTTATAATAGATATCATTATTCGTACTAATAATAGGTTTTATAACATATATGGATTGGCAATGTGCATGTTAAATTATTTATCAAACTAGCGACTCACCCTCGCTTCGCTCGGGTTCGTCAATAGGCTGATTCCCCATACAAACTTTCATCCTCATTTTCACCCCTTTAAGCTTTAAGGGATGATTTCAGGGATAATAAGTAGCCTATGTCCTTCCCAGAGACTCAAACTATCTTCTTACCAAATTTCATCTAAATCGGTTCAGTAGATCCAGAGATTACCCCCTACAACGTTACAAGCTCACAATTCACAAAATTACCTCTTTATAATATTAGTATAGATAATATGTATGAACATGTAGTTCGACTTTCAATGAATATTAACGACATAATAATTTTTTTTAATAATACGATTGGATGATAATATATCTAATATAATATTATAATATCCAAAATATACTTTGTTAGTATTAAATTCAAGAAAGGACAAAATGTATTCATAAAACAAAACACCAACATCCATCTTAAATCTAGCATAGTGCCATTAGTAATTCTTACATTGCATTACATTTAAACGATAGTACTGATACGGTTTAAAACTAATAAGTGTGCTAATATATTTGGTAAAAGATAAACTTTTTAAGGAAACTAGTTGACCTTAACGTGTCCAATGTCCATAATTTTTACTGGTTAAATTAATGATAGTGACAATGACTAAGCAAAACGAATACTTAATATATTTTTATTAATCTATACTAATATTATTAAGTGGAAGGAATTTTTTGGTTGTTTCTTTGTATCGATTAAGCTCCGAAACTACTAGACCGATTGAGATAAAATTTGGTGAGAAAAAGTTTCGATAATATATTCGATAATATATTCGAGTCCCTGGGAAGGACAGTTTTTATCCCGGAAATCATCCCTTGCGGGGGGTGAAAAAGAGGTGGAGTTTGTATGGGGAAGCAACCTAGGGACGAACACGAGCGAAGCGAGGATGAATCGCTAGAACATTATTATTATACACGAGCACTCGCTTGCGGCTGCGCTCATATATTACTACAAAAAGAGCCTACGTCACTCTCCTTCGAATCCTTGTTTCACTTTCAATATTTAAAAATGAAAGAACACAAAAAATATAAACATTTTTTTAGTTTAAGGCTTTGGTGTTCTCCAAATAACTATATGACCTCAATAGCTTTTAGTGATGGGATGGCTATTTTAATATTTCAAGATTTAAGTATAATCTTGTTTTTATTTCATAATAAATTGATTATAGAATAGCTATATAGTTAATACTTATAGAAATTCATATTAATTATGTATTAAGTGCCAATAATTTATGGAACATTTCAATTGATGTCAACATGTATAGACTCACAGACAGGGATTTTTTATTGTTTTTTAAATAGAAATAGGCAGAGAGATTCTATAATCAAATAGGTATGTTTCTGGGTCACTTTGACCTAAGAAACATATTTTTTGTTTAAACTCTAAATAATATACTTTATTTAAAAATACTATGTCACAATGAAAATTTATTATGTTTTCATGTGAATAACTTATATTATGATGATTTTTACTCACATATACTTTGAAATACTAATTTGATAATTTTGCTAATATGGAATCAATATAATAATAATAGACTCTTTATTGTACACCAAGTATAAAAGAAAAGAAATATATACAGAATAGATAGATCATCTAGAAGAGGTGGTCTTATAGCTAAAACAGTGATATATGTATTATTTATATATACAGCGAAATTCTTCTAATAAAAAAAGTAAATTTACTAAAGAAAAGCTCAATTTTATACAATAATAAAATACCTGTGACTTTCTTAATTTGTCTTCAATAGCTGCAAATGCAATTTGTAATGCTTGGTGTTCATCTCTCAACATTTGATTAAGTCCTTGTAATTCATTCATATTCCTATCATACATTTGTATTTCAGCTCGTAGTGATGCTATTAATGCAGTATTTTCTGAAATTCTAATAACAAAGTAATATTCATAAAGTATAAAAGTATAACAAGCTTCAATACATATTGGTTTTGAATTATGTTAATTTTTATTTCCTAAATGATATATTTTTTTACTGTTCTTAAAAGTAAATGTCTTTAACACCTCCAGGTAAATTTCTAAGAAATTAAAATTCTAAGAAATCTATTGTTAACTGACACGCCGGCGTGTCCGCGGTCGTGGAGGGATTAAATAAATCATCATCATTAGTAAAAGTTTGACATACATAATATAAAATAGAATATAAAACATAAGTTCAACACCATGAATCATGTTTACAGTTTTAACTAATGAGATCTAATGTTACTTAAATAACTAAGTTTTACTTAAAATAGAATATAAATATAAGGGTAATGATTTAATATAGTTTTCAAAAGGTTTGGAAGTAGCAGAATGGGTCTGAAGTAAACAAAGATAAACATTTTTAAGAACAAAAAAATATTAGCTTTGCCTTGGATATAAAAACTAAACCCACAACTATCTAGTTATATATATGATGGTGGTGTGAATGCAGTGTGTCATCTGATAAGTAACTTACATAATATCCTTAGACTGTAAGTTTTTTTCTAAATCATGGACTCGTGAATTTAAATTGATTATCTGTTGTGCATTTTCACTTCTCCTACGGTGCATAGACGTAAGTTCTTCTTGTTGAGATAAAATTTTTTGTTCTAGAGCTTGTATTCGTTCATTGGTAACACCACCTGAAAAACCAACAAAGTTTTATGATAACTATCTAGATCTAAGTTCATTTTAAAATACAGACATGACTATATTTATAAAGTAATTATTGGAAAAAGCATATAACTTTATATAATATAGATATAGTGAATTATTTACATATTAGAAGAATAATTATTTGGTTATATATCCATGAGACATTTTAAAAATTAAATTTTATTTCATATTGATAAGGGCACATAGTGCTTATAAGATTTTGTATATTGGAGCAAATGATGTATAAAATGTTTTATCTATTAAAATAAATATACCAACCTCCACTATTTAATACACTTTCTGTATTAGAGAATCTAATTCTCTCATTTAATAAAGTTAGCTGCAAGTTTTCATTTCTCAAAGTACTAACATTGTCAAACAGGCGGCTTTCTGAAATTTAAAGGTGTAAATCATAGAAAAATTATGCATATTTTATTATCATAATTTTATATTTATACAAAAAATAAACAGTGGCATCAAATATAGTTAGCCTTATCATCAGTAGAATGTTAAGGTAATTAAGTAAGATAGTGTTCTCATTGTTTTATACTATAAATTATGATTATACCGCCGCTATATAAATTATATTATATTAGTATAAATAGACAATGGTAGAATAACCTAGAGTATAAGAAGTAGGTTATGTTACTTACGAAAAGCTATGATATCTTGAAACGCAGTTGTTTCACGCTTATTACGTGTCTGAAGTTGACTTATTATATTATTTCTCCAATCTCTGCCTTCCATTTTAGCTCCGAATATTATTACATGAATTAATTAAAATATTTATTCTAACTTTTGATATCAAAACAAACAGATGTCATGTCCACTTAAAAGGGATGGGTACTTTAATCGTAACTAAAACAGTTTACAATAAGTGGTAATTCATTAAACAATACCGAATAATTTTGAATATTATTGTATTTAATAAACAGTTAGAATTTATTTTTCTATCACTCGTAAATAAACTTTTGACAAATTGACGTTTTCTTCAAATGACATTTGCTAATCTAATGTCAAAATATTCATTGCTTGTGCTTCATGGAATTTTGCTTTAAAGTCCAAAATGATAAGATTCTTTAACTCAAATAACACAAATAATGGCAGAGTGAGAACCTATAAAAATAGTTTGGTTTACATTGTTTAACTTCAAAACATAGCTTAGAATTAAATTAATGTAGTTACTAATTGAATTAAATTTTTCCTTTTTGTGGCTAGTAATTAATGTATTTATAGTCAAAATAACTTTTGACTAATTAATATGTTGAAATAAATTGAGATTATATTATTATGTTGATTTAAAACCGAATTACCATATATATTATGTGTTTGTATCATGGTTTGTATGTACTAAATAACCTATAATTTGGGATTTCGTGCTTAGAAAATGTGTTTATATAGATTGTGTGACTATAGATCCAACGTCAACGTGTCTAAAATATTTTAGAAATGCCGTCATTGTGGTTATTCCAAAATTATTCCACGCTAAAGAAAATAATACGATCCATTTCATATTACTATTTATAATAAACGCAAAAATTTGTATGAGATACCTACACTATATTTGTAACTCTTTCACGCTCAAATTTGGATAAATTTATGTACATAGATTATGACGTGCAGTTACAGCGGTATAGTTGAATTAAAATAGATAGTTTATATTTTCAGCAGTATCCATGACTTTATATGGTATCGAGTATCCATGTGTCCTTGTTACACACAATATAATAAAAACTATTAAAAATATGATATACTATTCAATTGTATTGACGTAATTTATGACAAATAAATTACAAAAATAATTAAAGTATCTAACATATTTAAACGCGCAATTCTTGTATATATATAATCTGAATCTCGGAAACGGGTCCAACGATTTTCATGACATTTAACACACCAGGGGTTTCGGGGGCGATAAATCGATCTAGATTAGTTTATATCTGGAAAAACGCGTGTTTTCGAGTTTTCATGCGGTTTTGCTTCGCATTATTCTACGCAAAATATGGTCGCTAATACGCACGCTAGGACACTATTATCGTGGTCAAACGCAAATATATATATATATATATATATCTTTACGTAGAATGGAGAAGACACGTCACATAAATGTTTATGTGACGTGTCTTCTCCATTCTACGTAACATTGGTGATGTAAATTGTGCCCAACTAGCACTCCTAGAAGCCACGAAATAAAAGAATGAATGAAACAATGTTTAAAATAGTAAGGGCTTACAAGTGTACGCCAAACAATTTGAGATTAAAAAGTTTTCAGAAAGGTGGATACGGAGGTAATAAAATCGTAAATAATTGGTTCGAATTCATTAAAGGTCTTATCTTTCACTAAGAATAGATAAATTCCGTATTCATTTGGACTTTGACTGCTACTATTCAATTAAGGATTGGAGATTCAATTATAAGTTTTGAGCCCGCGCCGCCGTTGCTTGAGGTGCGCATCGGTGCCTAAATTAAATTGTACCTACTTTGAATCATTATCTCCTCACAAATGAATTTCTTAAGTAACTTATTTTTTTAATGAGTGCATCTTTATGAAGTAATGAATGCTTATAATTAAGTGTATTCTATTGTAGGATTTATACCTAAATATTTTGATGTTATACAAATAATTCTTTTTAAATGAACAGACTCAACACTCGACAGTAATTGTAAACAATTATTATCAAAGATAAAATTCTATCCCTTATTTTTAAGGTATTTATAAAATCAGTGTAACTTTTCAAATAAAATAATTATCAAATAAAATCTTATTTACTTTTAAATAAATATTAAGAGAACGTATTATCTAATTATTTCTGTCGTTTACAACGATATTTCATTACAAGGAACGACATGACAAAAATTCTATGACTTCTAAGTTCTAACCCGTTGAGCTGGCTGGGCTTTGAAAAGATTTTAGTACTACATACACACTTAGGCAAGTTATACAAAAGACGGAGAAATGTCCAAATAAATTCAGTCTCTACGCCAAGTCTTTGTAGACTACGTGAAAGCCTTTGACGCCGCTTATACCTGGATGGATTGTCCAGTAAATCCATACGTAGGTGATTGGCGGTATAACCAGGTGCTAAAATATTTACGATTTAGCCGCAATCATGACCAATAAAACACAATATCAGAGCACATAGTAGGTAGTAAGGATGTAATAACTTTTAAGGTCCTTTCTAATTTATTAGAAGACGTCTTCAAGACGATTGATTGGATAGAACTCGGAATTAATATACATAGGTATGGCTAATACGTAAGACACCTGCGGTTTGCCTCTGCAGGACTTGGTCGAGATACTTATTATACGGCTTAAGCGATTTTTCAAGACAAGTGGGTCTCTTGATGAATCATGACATAAGTCATAATAATATTCATGCATGTTGCATCCCCAAGACTGGGTATAATGTCGCGATTTTTGAATAGTTCATACCGATATCTTCGCCAAAGTATACTATTTGGCCCATGCAACTTTTTGAAGGAGACTAATAAAAAATACGCTTAGGATAGACGGCTCTGTCGCCTAACCTACAGTTTTTTAACAACAGTACTACTATATAATATAACTAACTAGTGCATCTTGTATGAAATAATCTATAGAGTAAAAAGTATAATATATATACTGTATTAGTCTGAGTTCAAGGTGGCTCAGTGGGAAACAGAACGCGCGATGCTAGATTTCTCTGACAGATAGAATTTAAAATATTCAATGGCCAGAGAAATGAAATGACTAATATCGTAGGCAAAATTAGCACGCTTAAGTGAAAGTGCGGGCGGTTTTATTTCTTCCTTCATTTCGTCGAGCAATAGACAACGGTATACAAAAAAAAACGATTCATGCATTTTAAGTCCTTAATATTCTTAACATGAAGTTTGTGCTAACTTTTGACTGTTTTTATTTTGGTAATCCAAGAAAGAAAAATAAAATTACTCTTCATGTTTCATTTCTTTGATCCTGAAGTTTTTTTTATTGTCCAAAATGAAAATTACAAATATACTTAATTATACATATATACAAAACAAATGTATAGGTACTATGTATGTTCGTCCTACTCTGGCACTGGACATGTAAATTTCGAGGTTAAATATGTTTTTAAAAAGTTTAGTCATAATGCAATAAAATAACGAGAAGTTAAATTTGAACGAAGAAATCTTGAAGCTGAATAATTCATTCATTTCAGATAAATGGTACCGGACGGAATTTGTAATAGAAAAAAAATATTATCGCTGCTGTCCTTGTACATTTCAGCTACATTGAATTTAATGAGATAGGTTTTATTATTAAGTCTAATATTTCAGTGATAAGGTACTTCAGCGACGTTTTGTAGTTACCTATTATATACTTAAAAAGTAAACTGTCATTAACGAAGAAAATTCATTTTTATACCAAAATGAAACAAAGCAATAACAATTATAATTTATATATTAACTCATTATTCTGATTCGGAATCCTTACTGAATCTCTTGTGTATTTTAGGATTTTCTGTAATAGAATTTATTAAATCATTTAAATGCAATATTTTATATAAAGTAATTACGCTTCTTGTTATTAATTTTAATACATACTTTCAACACCCAAGTTATAGGGGATTCCTTTAGTGCTTATACCTCGGCCTCCATCGGATCCTGTAAATTGTAAATTATTCTAATTTATTATGATCTTATTTACACATATATTATAAAAAGGTAATCTCTGAAACTACTTGCTGTCACTAATAGGTTATTTTAAAAAAATGCGTTTATTGTCTGATATCATAATAACTTCAGTTGAAGTCAGTAAAATGGCAATGAAGTTGCTTTATCGGCTCTTGTTAGGCCCATTTTTGATTTGGCGGTGCGGTATCGGCGCAGTAAAGTACGCTCGGTAAAATTCTTACCGATTCTTTACCGAGCGCCTTTATTTGAATGCAAGCTAACTGATTGGCGCGCGCTGCGCGGGAGCGGGGCGGTAAACGTGCGACATACTGCGTCACAGTACGGGCAGCCTGTAAAACCGTTGATACTCCAATATTTCTCCAAGTTTCTGCAAGATTCAATTGTTTTACACTAAAGTATACTGACAGTACACCGATAAGTGAGGAGATCTGGCCGACATCAGTAAGCTTTCGGTAACGTAGCAAATACCGAGTACAGATACCGCACCGACAAGTCAGGAAGGGGCCTTAGGCATCTAGAGCGAACCGAGCGAGACTAGAGTAAGTCGCTAGTAAAGTATCAAATGTTATTAAAAAAATATAAAATATTACAAAAGAATAATAACAATATGAGTCATTTTTTTATAAATATTGTTGTTAAGTACATAATGTATCTTTATATGTTTTAAATCTACTTGTAGCAGATATCGGCGCCCTTTAACCTATTCCTCTTATATTTTAATTAAACAATAAAAAAACAAAATTGTATTTTGCTACAAAACCTGAACTATCACCTTCGTGGGATTCACTTTCTCTGATACCTCTTAAATTTAATTTCTTTTCCTCTTCATCTTTTTTTTTATCTATTTCTTCACTCTCACTGGATGAGTCGTGTTTAACGGACCTTTTTGAATTGCGTTTAATATTTAATCCTAAAATATGATCATTATGAAATAACTACACGTTTTACATAGTTTTTCAGTACCTTTAGGTACCTACTATTTTCCTTATCATCTAAATCTAATATATTAATAAATATTTATATTAATAAATAGCCTAAAAATAAATAGCTTAAAAGTAGCCTAAATTTAACTGATATAATTATTTCAAGAT